ATGCACGAAATCGATAGAAATCCGTCTTCACAGTCGAATAGTCAGGAGAGTTGGTATCCACTTGGTTCGAAGGTGCGATCCTGTTTTTAACCGTTCGGCCCGGTTGTTATCGAATGCAAATAAGCTCTCTCCTGCCGAGTACTTTCATATCACAAAGGAATCGACTCGTCAAGAATCCACTTGCCTGAAACAAGTAGTTCGAAAGGCTTATCTCTGACGGGCCTTTGTCTTGGTAGAATCCACGATTCCTCCACTTCCTGTTGAGAAAATAGAAATTAGATCTCTTAATAAGACATCTTCTCTTGTTAATTGCTAACATTTTTCAATTATTTTTCAATCGTAACAGATGTAACGAATTAATTGAAATTTTTGTTTAATTATTTTAAAATTTATTATTCGATTTTTAAAAGGTAAAATTGGAAATTAAGCTTTATTTTCTTTCTTCTCGAAAAGGAGAAAAAGTATTAAATTTATTAGAGATTGGAATTAAAAATGGTAAAATTGAATTTTAATTGAACTCGATGGAAATTTCGTATTAACTACAAGGACTTAACTTAAAGGATATTCGCGTTTGCTTAAAAAACAATGGTGTACAATACAAGTTATATTTGTACGTTTATTGTGAAGATAGAAAACGGGATATTCTCATACGCGTTCCCAGGGTATTTGCATAATATTGAGTAAATTAATCGTAAATTTATTGCACGAGTAATTTGTCGACGGAGCGTCCTTTTAACGGATGCAAGGATATCATTATATCGTCGTAAATTTTTCTTACATTGATCGCTCTATAACCTCACGTAATATATACGCACTTATTGGATAATTATTTTTATTATTGATAATGAATATACACTCGGATTTGAGAAATAAGAAAAAAAATGTAATATAAAATATTACATTACCTTATCCCATATCGATAAAATTCGATATATATATATATATATTTTTAATACGAAATAACTTAAACTTTCACGAAAAAGAAGAAAGAAAAATTATTTACATAAAGTTGGTTTTTTTCATTTTTTTTTTCTTTAAAAATATAACGAAAAAAAAGGAAAAAAGGAACAACTGCAACTGACCTTTTACATTATGCACAGGTATACATGTTTGATTCAAAAATATGGTTTATGGTATGGCACCGTGGCTTTGTCACCCCTTGCGTAACACCCACTGTAACTTTATACCCAGTTTACACAGCCCCCAGGTACTTGGGCGTGGTATCTTTTTCCCCATTTATCGATCACAGGCAGATCGATCAATCCATGCAGAGATATAGACATATTTCTTCCGTGAAACGGAACAGGAACACTTGCTTTCGACATTTTAATCTATCGACCACGCGCCGTCATCGAATATTTATGCCACCATGGGATTATTTATTTAACCATATGTTTTATCCGAGAATATATTCTTATGGATAAAGTCAAGAGAAAACTTGTTGTCCAATTATAAATTTTTTGTAACTGTAGAAACAAGGGATCGTTATTTCCATTTCAATTGGCAGAAGATTAGGGGGAATATTACGCGTTTATTTTACGTGCATAAGAAGAAGAAGAAGAAGAAAAAAATGTAAGTGTGTGATAAGTATGAAAAGGGAATTTTAAGGTAAATAGATTTCTTGATTTCTTCTTATTGATGTTCGTAATACAATTTTTATATAATTGAATTTTTTTTTATAGCGTTAAAGACCTTCAAAAAAAAATTCAGAATTAACACTTCTGCTAATTTCATTGTTCAATGAGTTTCGAAATAATTAATTGAATCGTTTTTGCAATGGAAAAATGTTTAAATGAACGTGAATAGACTGCGGATGGTTATAATTCACAATAGTTTCGTAAGCCTATTTAAAAATTCGCGCCCTTGTGCCATAATATCGAAGAAGAATGATACATGGAAACGGCAATGCGGTATTCATCGGATATATTCCTATAATTCAACAAGGTTTACGTCCGTTTTCCTGACCTTGCATGTCCCCGAAATCTTTTTATTGTATAGACAGCGTATGATATTTTGGCGTGCACGAAGGCCGATTCGCGTGTAAATTACATGGAGGAGACGTGGTTACGTTTGCAGACGACTCGGATCGATTTCATCGGCTCGCTTCTTTTGTGCTTTGATGCAGATCATTAGTATGATAAGAGAGATGTATTCCCTTTTATTTGCAAGTACAAACTTTTATAGCGAGCAACCGTGGAATACATTTCGTAAGTTCGATGTTTGAATTTCCCGCGACACCTTATGAATATTCTGATCGAGATCTGTTTTATTATATGTAGGTATTTTTTTTTTCTGAGGAGGATGGGGGATTTTTAATTGATTTTATAATAAGAAAAATTCGTTGAATACTGAGAATAGGTGAATAATTTTTTGTCCAATCGTGTTAAGAATTATCAGTAATCATTAAAATTACTGGTAATTTTTGTCTATAAAATGAAAAAGTAATTTCCATTTTTACGAAGTAAAGAAAAATTGTAAAATTTAATCAAATAATCATAACTTTTTACCATTTTTAGTCACCTCAACATCCACGAAGAATCATCAGTCATTACAATTACAATTACTAGAATTGCTAGTAATTTTTATCCAATAATAGAATAAAGAAGAAATTTTCAATTTTAACTTATACTTTTTAAAAAAAGTGAAAGAAAAATTGTAAACTCTGATCAAATGAGTCAAGAAAATTTTATTAAATTTCATAATTATTTATCCAACCAGTGAAGAATCATCGTTATTATTATTGAAAATTACCAGTAAATCTTGTTCACGTAAAACAAACACTTCCACGAAATCAATTATACATCGATTGTCAAACAAACCATATCGAAATCTGCTGTCCATCCGCGGGGAAAAGAATATTTTCCCTATCACGTAATCGCGGAACGTGCTACCGTGGCACAGGTAGAGTTTGTAAAAGGCGGTACGGCCACCTAAACGCCCACTAACAGGTAGGTGTCTCCTTTTCAAGTTGACCGCGGCCTTTTTACGGTCTCGACGATTTTCTATAAAGGTACCTTTCCCTCCTTGTGCACGTCTCCGTCCGTGCATTGTCGCCTGTTGCACCAGATCGCCCGGAGCGTGTGAATGATGGACGCTTTTCTTTCGTTAGAAACGTTTCTTTCCACGATATACAGCACCGTGCAAAAGATATTATACCACCGTTTCGTAATTTCTCGTAAGCTTTCTTTGAATTGCTGAATCAACTTTTGTAATATTCGAATTCCTTGCAATCCATATAAGATAAGAACAATTTTATCCTCTATTAACATTGCTTTTGAGTTAAAGTATGAAAGGATAAAAATCTAAGTTTGATGGAAAAATAAAAAAGAAAAAAAGGAATTTATCATTGTGTAGCGTTAGTATTTTATCAGATAGTTATTACAGATAGATTAATAAATAGTCGTTTTCCTTTTTTGCAATAATTTTGGATGAAAGGGATTTGGAAATGGATGTAATTTTTTTTTCTTTAATTTCCAAATTAAAATTGCAAATATATTTTTCTGGTGAAATGACGAATTCGAATGACGACAAGAACGTTGGGGCCACGATCGGAGGAAGATGGAGGATCGTAAATATAAAATAAAAATCGGTGGAAACGGATTTCTGCGCCGACGAAAATGGCGAACAGCGCCGAAAGCCCATTTTTTCTTTCGACACTGTGCAATAATTCACTAAAAATTTATCGCGCGCGCAAAGATGTCGATTCCATGTGGCAATCATAAAGCCCGCCACGGAAATCGCGACACCCGGGGACCGTTTTTTTCGAAAGTGACGTAAGTCGTAGGAAGAAACTGCAACACACGTATGCAAGCCTGGATATATTCGCGACCTTATCGACGATGATTCACCTGATCATCCATCTTGTTCCCAGTGTGGGCATACGATATTTTATTGGAAGTTATTAATCGTTTATTGCCGAAATAACGGAAAATTTCCTTACGAATAGTGGCTGTTTTTTCTGTTAAAAGACATCGATGGTATGAATTCAGATTCTTTTAATTTTTTCTTTTTTTTTTCCTTTTTTTCTTTTTGAACTTTTAACTAACTATTTTTTTTCTTTCAGGAAAGATCTCAGAATTTTGAAAAGATTGATTACTTTCAGATGTGTGAGTTCTGATTATTTATTTTTTTTTTTCGAATGAAGTAGTTATTTCAGAAGTCTCAGAAATTTGATTATTTCGTTGACACACTTTTTCGTTTTTTAGATTTTTTGAGTCTAACAAATTGAAGATTGAAAAATACGTAAAATTAAAAATATTTAATTTTTGGAATTTTATGGTTTTCAAATCTTCGAGATCAGAAATCAAAGAAATTTTTCTTAGAGAAAACACTGGAAGCTAAAGTTTTCGAAACATTTTCTATTTTTCCAAGCGGATGATAACTTTCCAAATTTTTCCAACACGAAAGAATTGCATCGTACCGATTGATCATTAATTTTTCATTGGCCAGAGATCTCAGTTATCAGGAAATCGAGTTAACTGTGTCAAGATTCCAATGATTGTACACCCTTTCTGAAAAACATTCTCACGACACGATCACCCAGTGTCGATGACGATCGCCTTTTCAACGATCGGCATCACAATCGAACCTTTTTTGGTTATCACCATGATAGATCACGATTTAGTAAAATTCTGAATTCATTGCCGATATAAATATTCGACCATTGTTCTCCTACAACAATGATAATATTTATACTTTGTAGAAAATTTATTCATGGAATCCATAAAAAAGTTCCCTATGATCTCGAAATATTGATAAACGAAATTTGCGATATAATAAAATCAAGTTAACAACATATATGTACATATATACATGAAAAAAAAATTGAATTATATTTTGAAGATTAAATTTAAAATTTTGAAAATTAAATAAGCATAAAAATTTTATTTATTCTTTTACCATAAAATATAGAATTCTAAAATAAATAAACGAATATTTAATATTCAATAAACGAGACAACCATTACCATCACTTTCACAGTTAATAAAGATAAAAATTCGATCGCAAATCACATCTAATAATCACTAATTACGAGTGTAACTATGCGTCGTGTTTTAGAATTCATCAATTAAAGAGAAAAAATAAAAAGAAAACCAGCCGATTTGTTATTAACAATGACCGATCGTACACGGATAGAACGTTGAAAGAAGCCAAGTCTCGCGTTAACACCTTTTCAACGCGAAAAATGTGAAAAAGAAAAGGAAAAAAAGCGAAACGTTGGATGATGTAACGGATCTACGCGCGACAGTGTCCATTATCGATTAGCATACGTCGTCGATTAATCCATCCGCAACAGTGGATGCTGTGAATAGGCCAGTAAACACGTGCACGTTGCTGGAGAAGGATGATTCTAATTGTTCGAGGTACAGTTCGAGCCAGGCAGTCGTGACGCTTGCCTCTGATCGTGATTCAGGTAGAAAACATACATTTTTTTTTTATTTTCGAGTGTTCGAAAATAGGTTGGATCGTATTATCGTGGTAATAAATGTCCGGAGACAGTGCAGTTGAATCATCGTAACAGAATTCACCGTTCAATTCCTTCGTCCCTTCCTTGTCTCCTCTCGAGAACGAGTTTTTGTTGCGTGTGCGTTATGCGTTAAGAGTGAGTAAACTGAGCGAAGCATTTTTTTCTTTTTTCTTTTATTTCTCTTTCCTTTTCTTTTCTTTTCTTTTTTTTCCCTTTTAATTTCGATTTGAAAATTAACGAAAAGAGATTAAGATTTTTTCTTTTTTTTTTTTTTTTTTTTTTTTGGTTAATTTTCAAGTTATTCACGAGTTCTTTTTTATCTGTAATTTTCTTTTCTTTTTTCTTAAATTCTTTCCTCATTTATGCCTATTTTATGTTTCGACATTATTGTAATTTTAATTTCAATAATTCTCTGGTAAAATTATTAACTAAAAATTAATTATTATTATCTAAATTAACTTTAGAATCAGCAATAAATTGATAATAGATATGTGTTATAATTCAATTGAATTTCTTCGCAGAAAATCTTTTAACGGGGAAGTATGCGAATTCAATTTTGTCAATCATAAAAAAACAAGTTATACGCGGGAATTAAATAAAGAAAAATTATACAAAGATGATTCTAAAAATTTATTACTTAACCAAAGATTTTGATCATATCAATGTACAATAAATATAACAAATGGAATAATAAAGAGAAAATAATTCCAACTGGATATATCATAAATGAATCACGCTGTACGTTGAATTGTAATCGTTCGAAGAGCTAGCTTGAAAAGAAAAAAAAAAAAAAGAAAAAAAAGAATTTATTAAAGAGAAAAAAAAATTCTCTGAGGATGCTTAAGGTGACAAAGATGACAGTGCAAATATCACGTGGATGAAAGTGTTGAATATATACTTGACAGTTCGATTGCAGAAGGAGAATTGTGGTCGCCCTAACTCGGTCGTCTAATGAAACATTAATCCCACGCGGCAAATCACTAACAATTCTATACCAGTACTTGTATATATATATATATACTTGGGTAATATTACGCGATTATTACTCGAAGGAAAACTGTTTCGATTTGAGGCCATCGTCGAAGGCTCGCAGTTTTTCATCCTGGTGAAAAGTTTTCCTCGTTAACCTCTCAATATTGCATACTGACACGTGTGCGCTTAATATTCATTTGTGTTTCATTCGAGTATGAAATTAGAAATTAGAAATTATTTTTCTCGAAGATACAAAGGAATAATTTCCAATGCAGAATCGATTTAGAAAAGAGGAAAAATAATAAATAAATATAAATATAAAAAACGTGTAAGAGGAGAAAAAGTAGCATGAGACTGGAGGATAGAAAAATTGGATAAATTATTAATCTTAATCGAGTATCGAGTTCGTGGTAATTAAAAAAAAATCGTAGAATCACACGTGTACACGTTTGATATAAAATATCCTTGGAAGAAAGTGGACTGAAAAAAGGGGGCCAGGTTGAGGAAATACGATACATTTCCTCTCATTAGGGTATTCTGCCATAACAATCTTTGTCCAAGGTTAACGTTAAAATTCCCACAAGGATCACAGGATCACCTCCTCCTACTTCTTGTTTAGAATCAAAAATTCTCGATTAACCACGCTTTGTTACACGGCAAAAACAATCTCGATCCTCCACACTGTGTCATTGTAATTTCCCGCTACACGTGTTTACAGCCGCTTATAATGCATCTTAATTGCCTTTTCGTGTGAATCTTACGTAATTCCGTTTCTTTGATCCACCTACGCTTGCAAGAAGCATTGCCAAAAATAACACGTTATGAAGCAATCCAAAAACCCGTTCCTCTCTAAATCACTCCAATCCCTATTGTCAATAATTCTATTTATCCGGGAAAAATTCTTCTCAAAATCATTCACAAAAATATCGAGTTTACACGTTAATTATAAATGTCGTATTCAAATCTAGAGGATCGAAGATTGATAGGAAATAGGGTGATTTCAATGACTTTTTCTTTTTTCATAAAGAATCATAAGAGTTATTTCTAAAATTTAGCCTCGAATTTTTATTAATCTTATTATTAATTTGAATCTTATAAGATTATTTTACAAAGATAGGGATAGATATAGTTTCTTTATTTCTTTATCTAATTTCAATAGTACAACGATAAAACTATATATACATATTCAATTTTCCACAATTTTATTTTCTGAAATAGGAGGTACGATATCAAAAAAATAGATAGGAATTTTCAATATTTGTTATTTTAAAATTGACAAATTCGCTTGCACTAAAAAAAAAAAATTTGATCGCAAGGAACGATCCTTCCTAATTACATTCATGTTTAAAAACGAATTCAAAATTCAGTCGCGCGAAAAAGCGAAAAAAAGTTAAAAGTTAAATCTCTTCCGAAATCCGAAAATGATCGAAGAAAAGAAAAGAAAAGAAAACTTTTGCTCGTCAACGTAAGCAGGTACAACACGGAAAGTGTCCGGATCTGGGCCAGCCCGCGTCAAAACCCCACCCGGCCATCCGTTATAATCCGCCTATCTCTCGTCTCCCTCTTTGATCCAACCCGTACCCCTTGGCGGGGCTCCATCTCTCCCTCGATCTCTCGTGTTTCGCGCCGCTAGCCATCCGATCGGGCAGGGTTTGTACTAAGTGTCCACGTATACTCCTCGAAGGTTCAGTTCGGAACGCGCACTCGAACTCGAAGGATCCTCGAAGCCTCCTTTGATCCCCCACTCGGGCCCCACACAGGAAACGTACGTACGGAAAGAGAGAGGCTTTCCTTGCTCTCTGGCGAACAAACGAACAACACCTTCCAACCTGTTGCAACCTGTTCGCTCTTCGTTCACGGGTCGTCCCGCTGGATCGATCTTTGCCGATTTTTAATCATCCATGAGCGGCGACTCCTCGGGGCGAGGAGACGGAGTTTGGATTATACAGCCGAGGAGGGAGGATCCGGAGGATATCTTGCCACGATATTGAGCGGATTCGAGGTGTAAGATTGGCGGGATGATCGACAGGACACGATTCGCGGTCCTTTTCGGGCTGCTCGGTCTTGCCTGCGGCTTGCGTAAGTCTGCTTACATGTTTTTCAAATTTTGGAGTAATTAAAAGAATGTGAAATTTGTAGAAATTTGTTTCGTTGCTCTTTTGTCGAGGAGTAATATTTTTTTTTTTTGAATATAACGTTTGGGATTTGAAAATTTAGGGTTCTTGGTGTTAAGTTAAATATGTGAATTTGTTTGTATGTAGAATGGAAATTGATTGTGCTATTTTTTGGGGTAAAAAATTGTGTAGTTGTAGTTGTTAATATCTTGGCTTAGCATATATATATTTTTTTTCATTTGGATTTAAAAGCTATTGGTTATTATATAGAGTTAAATATATGGATTTGAAGGATTTGTTTTTGGAATTTTACAAGAATGGAAATTGATCGTGTTATTTTAATAATTTAAATATTTCTATAATTTTTTTCTTAGTATCCTGCCATAAGATTTTTATTTTTTTCAAAATTACGTAACGATTGTTAAAATATAAATTATTGCATTGATAATGATCATCAGGATTCATACCTGTTTTGACTATCTTTGGGACTTTATATATAATGGAGATTGATTAAAAACTTTTATCTGAACAATTTTTTGCAAATTTTTTACAAAATTTTTAATGAAGATTTTTTATTTATAATGATTAGAAGATGTCATATCATTCTATTTACTCAATTCGTAAAGAATTTTTGGAATTTTATGGATAGGAATCTGATTAAGATAATAATTTAAAAAATTTACATAGTTTTTTAGTACCATGACACAATATGTATATTTTTTTTCTATAAAAATATATAATATCTGTTACGTCAATGATAAGAAGGTGTTCCATCAGCAAAATTAAATATCTTTGAATTTCATGGACTTGATGGAAACTTGATTGAGCTTGACTAATTTTTGCACACTTTGCACATTTATTCTTTGATATATCATTTTTTTTTATGCACAAATTTTGAACGATCATGGAAATATCATATTGTGGATTTTAATGAATGAAAAATTCTAACATGGTATCAATAATAACTAAAAATATTATTAAATAAAACTAATCGTTTTGTTTAATAATATTCCTTGATGAAGAAATAAGTTTTATATTTATTACTCGTGCTGATTAACAATTAAATAATTGTTGTTATAGAGATAGATAGAATGATTATATTTTAACGATCATAATCCATTCTAATCTCGTTTAAAACATATTTATATATATCATTAGAGAAACTCATTAAAAATTGAGATTCTTATCTCATAATTATTTTACCTCAGGTTAAATTCATATTTTTATTTATTAATTTTTAATTCTATATTAATCAATGTAATTTAAGAAACGAGAAGTCAATCCGATAGACTTGTTTTAAACCTAAACTGTCCTCCATTGAATGAAAGTAAGTAATATGAATGAAAGTAATAATGAATGGAATATATCTAACGAAGTGTATTACTTGAAGTATATCATTACATATATCATTACCTCCTGTTTTACATTAATCATTCATTAATTATTCATTAAGATTCGTGGAAATCTCTTACAAATTTTTTCCAGCTTCAAAAATCAACTCCTCAAATCTAATTTCTTCATACTCTCCATTCTTCGTTCATCATTTCAAAAATTTCTATTCTCATCTTAGTTTAAATTCTTCTAAATTTTCCTTTCCTCGATTATACCAATTCCTAAAAACATCACAATTTGTAATAATTGTAAATTCAATCTCGTATTGTACAAATATTTTCTTCTCATTTCAAAGATTCTGCTCTCGTTTCGTTCAAATTTTTCTAAAAGTCGATTGTAAAACAATAATTTGATCGTACATTCGTTCAAACCACTACATAAAATCCTCCACGTTGAAATCGATTTACACCGCAGAAATTTTTTGTTCCACCTTGGATCGAAACGAAACTTACCATCCATCGTAATCGAACGATGTCCAATCACCACATCTTCTTCGCGATCGGGTAAACGATATCGGGAACACGTTGTCCTCTAAGGTTAGGTTACGCCATCGCCAACTGGAGCAACGATCCATACAAGGATGGTGCCATTTACGCCGTTAAATCCGGTCGATCTTCGCGTTCGTAAGCACGTGCAACGATGCTCGAGAATCGGATTCCTTGGATGGGAGTGTGCTCATACATCTTCGATAAAAATCGGTAAACGGAACTTTCGTTTTGGCCATGGATCACGCGATTTGAGAAAATAAGATCCGTGTGGGTGTGCACTTTCTCCGCTTCCCAACTTGAGCAACTTTTCTCGAATTTCTTGAGATTATTGTTATGTATAAGATAATAATGTAACGTTAATGTAAATTTTAACTTTCCACTTGGTAATCGCTTGGATTGTTAGAAATTTTAGTTGGATTATGGGTAGATTAATCATTTATCTATAAATACAGAAAATTTTTATCGAATGGCAGATCTTTAAAGTTAAAATATTTTATCTTTATTTTATCTAAATTTGAAGTTTTTTTTCGATTTCTATAAAATTCATATATAAATTTTTAATTTTGAAAGATGAAAATATAGAATGATTATAATATATAAATATCGTCATCTCGAAATCAGAATATTTAAGAATGTTATCAATACTAATTTGAGTTAGAATAATAATTACTTGCGTATATATGGAACACTTTTGATCATCATCAATTATTTATCGATAATAATCATCCAAATCTAAATGCAAATATACTTTAAACCTAAAATTTTCCACAACAGAAACCAATCTAAAATCTTTCCCCTTTATCGAAACCAACAAATCCAACAAATGAAAATTTTGTTCATTTCGTCCCAAATCTAATTCTCTCTTTTAAAAATATTCCCTCCCCCCCCAAAAAACTAGATCATCATAATTAAATTTCTAAAAATCTCGAACGATCCACACTTCCCTCCTCCTTCGTTCCCTCCACCGTGGAAACATTTTCCTCGAAGTCTGGGCATCAACATTGAAATTTATTGATAATAAATGTCACAGCTATCACCGATATCTTCTGTCAGAGCATCCTTAGCATCGAGTATCCTTCTTTCCTCGTTGGCGAGCCGCAAGGCCTATGTAAACGATTATTATAGCAACGGTTGCATAGCGTACGCGAAGGATGATGTCAATCAATGTACATAACAAACAGATCTATCGAACCTACTAATTTTTGGCTCGTTCTTTTTTTCCTTTTTTCGTTCACGGCCACGGAATATCATTAATTTCGTTACGTGTAATCGTGTCAAGTCCATTGAACGAAGAGATTAAAATAAAATAAATAAAATAAACAATAAAAGAAAATAATCTTGATAAATGATTATTCTTGATTAGTATTTTGTCGATATTAATACTCAATACAGGTTATATTAATTTTTTCGATGAATGTTTATATTGCTATTGGGATTATATCAACTGATTGCAATCAGAGAAGTTTAGGATGTAATAATAAGATACAAAAGTTAAATGTGTATGAAATTGTGTGTGAATTATTAATAATTTATTCTTATTCATGTTGATTGATTTCAGAATGCCCGAAACAGAAGATATCACCAGGCAGAGAGGTGGTCTGTTACACTTCCGTTTCCGAGGTGGAACAGTTAACGGAAGCTATTTGCAGATGCACCACTTTGGTGCAAAAAGGCCTCGACGTGCGAAATCTCTCGGTTTCCGGTAAGTCCAAGTCCAAGTATTTCTATGTTTGTGATGGAGCATATACAAAGTTGCACACTTGTTTGAAAGATTCCTTGATTCTTGATAATCGCGATGATCGAAGCCAGATGATCGAATGATTTTCCACTTGTTATTGGAAGAAAAAAAAAAAAAAAAAAAAGAGAGAGAAAAACAAAACGGTGTGGGAAGATCTTGTTGATATATCAAGAAAACGATGCGGAGAACGTTCTTGGAAATGGATTTTTTCGTAAAAAAAGAGTTTCAAACGATTAAGATTTCCCATATTGATTAAATCTAAACGATAAATCAAGGGGCGAGAAGAAAAATGTAATTACGCGTGTCAAATCGGATATTTATAATAGATAAAAGTATCGCCTATTAAAAATATGATTGCGATTCAGTATGTAATTTTACGATCATTTTCTTGATATATTTATATCGTAGCTAGTTCCAAATAAGGTAATCGGTGTGGAATTAAAATCTTATTGATCCAAAAATAAAAATTGATAATATAAATGGAATAAAAAAAAAAAAAGAAATTGACTCAAGATACAGTGAAAAGTCGGAGAATTTTTATTGGAAATAGACCAGTGATGAAGATGATGTAAAATAATAATGCAATTAATTATTAATAATTTCTTGTTTTCCTTTATAAATAACGATTAAATGTTTGTATCAATCGTTAAACGTTGCATAATTCATACGATTATGCTTTTTGCGGTTGCATAATAAACACAACATCCATGGAGGTGCAGCTGCATCCTTGCACTTGCAACAGGATATCGAAATCCAACCACGAGAGACGGTGTATTCTTACATTCGATGATATTGTCACTCTTGAGAAATCAATTCTCGGTTCCCTCATCAAACTTCTGTACCCACACTGTAATTTATGATAATTTTTCTCGATGATTTAACTCCATCGTCGACATTTCAATTCTAAATCGTTCATTTTTCAATCAAAATCACTATGTATATTAGTCCTATTTATTAATAATTCCGCGTTAATGAAAAATTGTTACGTTTTTCATTCTTTCATTATTGTATTATTCAATCAACGATACTTACATGTATGTCATTTCATTGTCAATTGGAATATTGAAAAATAATTGTATCATCATATAATTACGAGTGTGATTAACTCTTCTCAAAAATATTATTACTATTATTTGCGATTAATGATCATTTTAATAAATCGATATAAATTATTATTTTTTACCAAAATTAAATAAAATTACCTTTTATTGCAATAATTGGTCAAAATTATATAAAAATTAGAGGATAAAAGCGAAATGAAAATTCTAATAAGGAGCAAAACAAAGTCGAAGACTTTCCTTGAACCGGAATGAACAAAAGAATCGAAAAAGAAAAATACTGTTCGTGTCGGAAGTGCGTCCAGAATGCATAAAATCGAGGCAGAAGCGTGTCTGTCTCGCGAAGATGTCGTTAAAATATTCATAGAAGACAATGCTCGATGAATATTCAGCTGCGAGTCGATCCTGTTAAATCTTGAATGAACATCACACTTTGCTTTTTTTTTCTTTATTTATTTATTCCGTGTCAAAAGTTAACATTTCTCGAGACTTTGATGTACCAATTAATTTGCATGGAATCCCGAACAAGAGGATTATATTTCATAATTTTCGACGAAGTCAGAATATTGTCAATTCAATGATATTTACTTATTAAAAAAAGATGTCGAAATAGTTGTTCAATTAACAACGTTCAATCGATGCTTTATCAAATCTATAATCAAGAAAGTGACGATTAAAGACTTCAATTAAATTCCTCGAGCTCCTGTAACGATATTTCCACCTTTACATATCTTTATGTAATATTTTTTTTTATTTTATTATTAACTATGAAGTTTCATTAGAAAACGTGTTACAAGAAAATATAATTTATCTTGTGATTAGATGTGTGTATAATTGTAAATTGTATAATCAAATTTTGAATATTTAATGAAATAATATTATTCTCGTGTTCTCTTCTTTTCGCTTCGAACAAATTTTTCGTAATAATTTGATAAAAATTATTTGAGGAGTAAAAAAATTAAAACGATCCCCTTTTCTACTCTAAATTAATCTCAAAATTGAAATTATTTATACATCTTTATACTTAATAAAATTATTAATAATTCTTGCGTCGGTGAAACATCGGTTGTGAAACATAATCTGTATTCGATATTCATCAAACCTTCCGTTTCATTTTATCGAGAAATTAATAATTCACCTCTTTGATTTTCTCTTTCCTCGCTTATTTACGCCTTCGACTTCACTTTGCAATAAGATCCACTTTATTATTAATCGGTTGCAACAGCCACTTTATTACCATCGAGATCAACCGTTGAAATCCGCAAAATTCGAACCTTTCCCCGTTAAGGGACGCGATCGTGTTGTGCAACACGAAAAAACAACCTTGATCAAACAACCGATCGAAAGAAGAAGAAGAAGAAGAAAAAAGAGTGAAAAAGAAAAATCGAACAGATTTCGAAATTTCGCCAAAATCAATTTGTTATGCATAACAGAATGGTGGTTGGGTGACGACGGTATGCCACGCGTGAAATTTGATATTTTTGGCCGTGCAGACCGCGGATCACGAGAGATCGAGATGCGATTAAAAGGAAGAAAAGGAAGTGTGAATACGAGATGAGAAGAAACGGAAAGGGGCGAAATGAGGTGAAAAACTCGAGAGACGAGGACAGAAGTCGTGTCTACACGAGCCACGTTTGTGACATAATCGCTCGAAAACGAGTATCCATACCGTATTCTTCTTTTTCTTCTTTTTCTTCTCTGCGACCGTTGCCCATGAATGGTCGCGTTCGACCCGTCTCGTCTTGTGGTATTAAACGTCTTTTCGATAACGAAAGGAGCCAGTTTCAATTAAAATCGAATGGCAGGGACGAATTGGAAAGGGTTCAAGGCGAAACCTTCGCTCTTTTGTTTTTTTTCCCCTTCTTTATTTTTTTTTCTTTTTTTTTTTAATTGAAAAACCTTGCTAATCGATTCGATTGGATTATGATAGAATTATTGGATTATGATAGAATTATTTTTGTATAGGATGTATATAAGGAATAAGGGAATTTAAATTTGTTGAAAAGAATAGGAATTTTTAATTAGGAATTGAATAAAAATCTTTTTTTCTTTTTTCTTTTTTGTTTGGATTTTGTATAGGTTTTGAAATTTTGTAGAAGAATAGAATTATTTGAAAAGGTATTAAGAAATGAGAGTATTGGATTTATTGAGTAAAATTATTGAGTAAAATAGAGAGAAGTAAAAGACTTTTTTTTTTTTTGGATTTCTGTTATCACGTTTTTATTGGAGGAAAATAAAAATTAATTAATTTAAATAATATATTTATAATTAATTTGTTTCAAAGAATTTGAATTATAAATTTGATAGAATCGAATATTCCAATTAATTTTTAATTCAATCACGAAGAAACATCATAAAAAAAAAAGACTAAAAACTATTTAAAAAATGAAATAGCGAATTGCATTCGGTTAAAAAAAAATGTTAAATTAGATCGATATAAATTCAAATAAGAGTTGTTCGTGCGAGTTTCGAAAAATGTTTGTCAAGCCAAGACCAAATTCGTGCATGGGTGTGGCTAATGAAACAGCGGGGACAGTGGCGTTGAAAGTGGTTCTTATAGATGATCCAGATGTAACGAATATCACTTTCCCTCGCATACCATTGAATTTTATTTCGTGTATCAACGTTCAATCTCGTTCCTTTAAAATCTAGCTTCATTTTCAAGTGACAAATATCGCGATAAATTTTTACGCGCCTCTTTTTTTTTTTCTCGATCCACGAAAATTTCCACTTTCGCTGATCCATTTATAAAGAATAAATAAAAATAAATAATCATTATCGTGCTCGCGTTATATAATTTCTCTCGTGTAGTAAGTTTTTTAGCATAATTACATATTGCAAGAAATTACATAAAACCGTGAAAACTGTAATCGATCAAGCGTATATGGAAATTTTGAGTGAACCAGTTCACGTGTGCCCCCCTTTTTACAAGTATTTTCGAAGGAAGAAAAATGTTAATCGAAGCATCGTGTCGTCAAATTGTTACGAGGTGTAACTTTAAGTAATTTCGTTTCGTGACTGGATTTTATTTTTTAAATAATTATCTTCTTTTTTTTTATTTTATCCTTATTATTAATTTTGTAATTTTTTATGTGAAAGTTGTAGTTTTTCGTTTATGCGAAAGTTTCCTCAACGTTCTAGATATCCTTCAAAAATTTAAAAGAAGGGAAAAAAATTAAACTCACTTACTTACGTCGAGTAAGATTTTCAAATTTATTGTTGAGAGATTTCGAGTTTGTTTAATTGAATTTAAATCTACTTTTTATGCAAAATATCATATATAGTGAAACAAATTAATAAATGGAAGAATAATAAAATTAGGATATTAAAATAATCCTAGGATAGTAAAATAGAAAGTAACTTTTCAATCAATAATCATTGTCAAAATCGATCATTGTCAAAAAATACGTGAAAGTTCGTGATTAATTATATGGAGACATTTCTTCTAACTGCATCGTGTCGTGTTGATTGTGCGACGAGATCGACAATCACGAAAAGGAAGCCGGAAATTCTTGGGAGAACAGTTTTTATTCTACAAGTGAACGTTACTATCGCTAAATCTGATAATTAGGTTGAATATCTTGAGAAATGAGGAAAAATTGTAATAATTTATATATAGGGTTAGAAAAAAGTTAATGCAATAACCAAGTCTTCAAAAATAAAATGCAGAACGATATAATTACAAAGAAATTGCAAGAAATATTATTAATTACATTATAAAAATAAGAAACGAATTTTTAACGCTCGAAAAAACTTCGAAAACTTCCTTTATAGATATAATTAAACTCAAATTATTTACATTTGAAAAATTCCTTCGTTCCTTTATCTCCTTTTACGCAAATGATAATTGTACAATTTAATGTATCAAAGTAACTAATATTTCCATTTCATTAATTTCTTTCTAGAATTCGAAGACTTCCGGAAATCATTGAAGGAGATTGTCCCAACTCTTCAGTTCGTGATTTCCGTGGACGATCCTGCAAAAACGTTGAGAACTTCCGGCACAGTTCGCCAAGAGATCACGGCTCGTTTGATCGGAGTTTTGAAAGAGGCAATTTCACATTTTTATTATCGAAAAAGAAAAAAAAAAAAAAGAAAAAATCGAAACGATTCATTCTCGAACGATTTTTATTTTCAATCTATCCACAGGTTGATGGAGTCGAGTTGAACATGACTGCTGGAACAAAGGAACGTTTAGCCCATTTTGTGAAAGGTTTGAAAGACGAGTTCTTGAGGAAATCGTACGACAAGAGAATCTTCTTGGTCCTACCCACGAAATCGGAGGACCTGGCCAAACAATACGACTTGAAAGAATTATCCAAGTAAGAAATTAATTTTAAACTCGATAAATTACAAGCTTGAACTAGAATTCGAAAATAGACAGTTCACACAATTTTTATAACCTACTATTTCGTAAAATTCATCGTCTTTGTATTTTTGTAACGAACTGACTACTTTTGTAACGCGATATCATTCGAATAACTCTCTCAATTTTTCTCCTCGCAATCAACAATTGTTGACACTTCTCTATCCAAACGACATACCTTTCAACTTTCCTTAAACTCTCAGACATATATCCCAGCTATTCCCTTTTCCAGCCGTGAAAAAAACGTCTCACAGCAGGCCCAACTGCCAACCAGACCTAAGCCAGACACGTAGCATCTCGAAACTCGATTGCGCTTAAGTTCATGAATTATTGACCGACAATCGGAATGGATTCAGCAAAAAAAAAAAAAAAAAAAAAAAAACTACTCACTTACACGTCCATACTCGACGTATCTGCCTAACCTTGTGCCAATTCTCAACCGGATAACACATTAGGAATGCCGCGACAAGTCGATACGCCTCGTTCTCGGTCGAACCATGCTTGATTTTCACGCTCCTTGCAATTAACGTGGTCGCTTTAGATGACAGGCGTGTAGCGTACACGTCGTTGTATCGTTTGCCACTTTTGCCATTGAATATGGACGAGGGTGCAAGGAACGAAAGAAGGAATGAGAATGAGATCGAAACTCATTCGAAATTATCGAATGACAATGGATGCTTCAGACAATTGGACGTTGCGTTACATAGTAAAGTGGAACGAAAGATAAGAATTTTCCTCTTGCTATTGATCGTTTCTAAGAGTAACATTGTACACGTGTAGTATATAAAAGATATAATTAAAATATCGATCGAAAAAAAAAAATTAATCGTGGATGTTTAACAGAATATCTATATACGAATATATAAATAGCTACTTTTGCTATTAATGATATCTAATGGCGATTGAAAGTATGCGATACGCAATGTTTATGAAGCATTTTTTTCAAGACGAGATGTCGTATAACGGATAATGGGTAATGGGACAAACCTATTATTGCCTATGATTCTCTTATGTTATGCGAAATATTTCATCGCATATGCATGAGTTTTAGGGTAACTCGAGACCGTTCTTGAAATATGAATGAGATAGTCATATCGAGACGACACTTATAGCGGTAATCATGATCAGCTTATACAAGCGATACTATTCCGGAACTATTACGTTGTTTCGAAACAACACGTGTTTATGTATATTTTCAGAAATGATTCATGGAATGGAATAAATCGACTAACGATTATCCTTTTTTCCCTCCCCCTCATTTTCTTCTTCTTCTTCATCTCACTCCTCCTCCTCTTCTTTTTTCATTACTCTTCGCATAAATGTGCATAAATGCAAATGGAGTTCCGTGTTTTTCGCCGACAGGTACGTGGATCTATTCACGGTACCCACGCATTACCTGGTCGAAGATGACGAGTCTTATCGTACGTTCCATCCGTCACGATTGATGGGCCTCTTCGACATGTTCAACGCGGATAGTTTGATCGACTTGATTAGCGGATTGGGCGCGCCAAAGAGGAAAATCTTGGTGTCCGTGCCGTCAAGCGCTTACAAGTTTACGCTCAAGGATCGGGACGACAATGCCCCGAGCGCGCCCACCGAGGAGATGCAACCGATTGTCATTGATCAGAAACAGGTGTGAAACAGGCCAATTTATATGAACAATTTTTTGGGAAATAATGGAGAAGAATTTTGGATTGATCAATTAAATCGGACCTTTTTACCTTTAATTGATGATGTATCTTGGAAGAAATAGAAGACAATTTTTGAGAAGTGATTTTAAAGGTGTAGAATTTGAGGGAAGATTGATATAGAGGAAGACAAAATTTATTTTGAAAATTTAATTTAGTAGAGTATTATAGAAGATACATAAAGAGAAAAGCTGCTTTTAAGATTTTTATGTTAGAAGTTTTTTCTTCTATCTAGTTAAACCTGCAATGATAAATTAAATTCTGTATAAATTGAACAAATGGAACTTGCATTGACATGTTATTTATTATACTTTCAGTTATGCGATTTGATGAATAAAGGAGAGTGGACGGTGGAAAGAGACGAAGATCTTACTGCTCCTTACTCTTTCAAAGACAAAATGTGGATTGCTTTTGAAGATAGAATATCGGTTTCAATTAAAGTGAGAGGAATATTCATTTTCATTCTCATTAAAATTATTTCACAATTGATGATTTTTATGATTGATTTCTGAAGGGAAAATATGTGCTGGTTCGAGATCTCCCTGGATTAGGTGTACAGGATATAGAAAATGATTTCAAAACGAAATGTGGCGCGCCTATCACGCATGAGATTCATCATTCTTTCATGGATTTCAAGAGGAAGTCTAGAGCTGCTGTGTTAAATGCTTTGGAAGACGATTTACACGTAAATAAAAATAATTGGATTCTTATTAACGTTAATTAATATCTTTAATATTACTTATTGGACAATGGAATATTTTGAAAAGAATCTTATATTCCTCTTATTAACATTCGATATAACTCTAATGCTTTATTTAATTTTCGATATTTTATAAAATTAATTTTATTGACCGAAATCTTCATCGATACGTCATCTTTTGGTAAAAGTTCATATATATCAATAGATATATAAATAATTCCAATATTATTTAAATTGATTTCAATTTTTTAATAAGAAATTTATATTACTTTATTAATGATATACATATTTCGTTTCTGCCAAAAATATAACAGTTTTATTAAATATTTAACTTGTTACATAAAATTAAATCATTTTTTTTCAGCAAAGAGAACTTGAATATTCGACTAAAGTCAAATCATCCGAATTTCGAGTTGTTCGCGTAGTAGATACAGAAGGACATATCAGAGTAGTTCGAGAGAATACTCAAACCGAGTTCACTTGCTCCAGACAAGGTTATTTCGTCCATCCTAAGAGTTGCAACAGGTACAATATATCCCAATTGCAAATTAATCATTGTATAAAATTTTCCTACTTTTTTTTTTTAACAGATTTTATCGATGCGTGAAATTCAATCAAGAAGTGGAAGATTACTCCGTGTTCGAGTTCGATTGTCCAGCAGGTTTATCTTTTGACGAGAGTACAGAAGTTTGTGTTTGGCCAGGTTCCATGCCAGAAGGATCTCCATGTCCTGGAAGCAGCGAAATTGCACCTGTGACAAGAGTGAGATTCCATTGTCCATCCCAAACTGGCTATTTCGCGGATCCTCAAAATCCTCGTTGGTTCTTCGCCTGCATCGATCTAGGTTTGTATCTCTTGTTTATTTATTTCATTCGTTCTTTTTAATTTCATAATTTGAAATAGATGATTAATGGAAAATTATCACGATAGGAGGACCAGAAATAATGGCCTACGAGTTTCGTTGCCCGTACGGTTTGATTTTCGACGAGCAAAAATTAATTTGCGAATGGCCTTGGCTGGTAGTAAGCTATTCTGGTAGTTACACAGGATCAGAATATGATAGCAGAGGATATGGTACAGGATCCACTCCAGGTACTGGAGGATATTATACTGGAGCATTACCTCATGGGTACACGGGAACCGGAGGAGGAGGAGGATATACTGGTACAACGGTTGGTGCTGGATCAGGATTTTCTGGAGGATCAACTGGAGTTGGGTCCACTTTTGGACAAGGAATTGGAGGATATACTGGCACAACGGTAACAAAAGGATATGGAACATCGTATGGTAATCAAGGGCTTGGTGGATTTTCTGGATCAGAAGGCCATGGAATTTTATTTAATCAAGGAACTAGTAATTACATTATAACAACTGGAGTTACTGGTGGTTATTCTGCAACTGGTGGAGGATTTTCTGGATCAAAAGGAATAAGTCATGGAACTACATATATTGGTCAAAAAACTGATGGTTACTCTGGAACAACTGGTGCTGGATATTTTGGATCAGCAGGAAAAGATCATGGCACTTCGTATACTGATCAAGGATCTATTGGATATTCAGGAACGAGTGGAAGTGGATATTCTGGAACAGGTACGAGTCAAATAACTGATCATGGATATGGCACGATAAACTATGGTGACAAAACTGGAAAAACAGGATCATCTAATTATGATAATCCAAATGGTGCAGAACCAGATCATTATGGATCAACGAGTGGAGTATATACAGAATCTCATAATACAGGATATTCAGGAAGTAGAACAAATCAAGTATCATCTACTGGATACATTGGAACAAATCAAGTACATACTGGATACACTGGATCAGGTCAAATATCTACTGGACATAGTAGACCAGGTCAAGTATCTACTGGATATACTGGAATAGGTCAAGTATCTACTGGATATACTGGATCAGGTCAAGTATCAACTGGATACACTGGAACAGGTCAAGAATCTACTGGATATACTGGAACAGGTCAAGTATTTACTGGATATACTGGATCAGGTCAAGTATCTACTGGAACAGGAAATCTTGGACATACAGAAACAAATGGAATATATAATGGAGCAACTGGCACAAGTTATACTGGACCCACACATTCAAGTAAAACTGGTACAAATTTAGAATATTCCGAAAAAGATTTTAGTCATGGTACTGGATCACAATCAATTGATAAAGGATATCCAGGAACAACAGGTCATGGAGGATATAGTGGTACCAATGTGCAATTCACTAATGGATATTCTAGAGAAACTCCTACCATTGTAACAGAAGACTATAGTGGATCGGGAATAAAAGATAGTCTTTCTAGTGTAAAATCTCCAGGATCTACTTATGGATCAACGATATCAGGATCTTCTGCAGGAACTGATTATTCAGGAACTGGATACATTTATACTGGACAAACAGGAACGAAATTCTCAGGATCTAAAACAGGAGGCCAAAGTGGACAATCATCACAGACTCCAATTTATACTTTCAGTGGTACAACTGGAACTGGATTAACCAATATATATTCACAAACTCGTAAGTTTTCATAAGAATAATTTTACTTGAAAATAATTCAAATATTTAATTTATTATTATTCAATTTGTAGCCATTTTTGTGGACAAGCCTAATGTACCAACTTGTATTACCATCCAATGTTCTCCTCCACCAAGTAGCCAAACCTATACAACAAATGATTACATTTCAAACCACGGAGTTACTTCTGAAACAAACGTTTATCAAGTCACTGGTGAATATACTGGAGGTTTGAATGCTACTTTAGGAGGTCATGTACCTTCTACGCCATATTATGGAGACGTAACGTCCAACGACATTTATAAAATAAAAACAACCGTCGGTACTGGTGGTATTGCAACAGGACACGGTGTCCAGGGATCGATCATCACTGGAGACTCCACTCCAGGAACACTTATCACTTATGGAGGCAGTTCTGGCACAGTTTTCACAGGTCCTTCCGATCAAGGTAGTATATTGACTGGAGCAAGTCATCCAGGATATACAAAAACTGGTCCAAGTACACCTGGCTACGTGGTCAGTGATGGAATCAAAACTGTCTATGGTTCTGCTAGTCCTGGAACTGTGATATATGGAACATCTACACCTGGTGTCGTAATAACTGGAGCACCAGAAACTGGAACTGTCGTAAAAGGTCAAACGAGTCCTGGATTAATACTTACAGGACAAACGGCACCTGGAGTCTCTATTGGTGGTTCCATCGATCAAGGAACAATTGGCTCCACAGGACATCATGTATTTACTGATTCAGGTTATACAACTCCATCAGGAATTGTCACACCAGCATATTCATATGGAACCAAAATTGCAAACGTGTCACCAGCACATGGTACTAGTTATAAGACTAATGAATACTATGATAATGGAGGACGCAGTACTATCAAATTTAACAATGGCGACGTGACAACCAAATATACAGAAAAAGATATTCCAGATTATAGACCATCTGGAGAATCTATTCCCCCAGACACTCTTATTCCTGGAAGCAGAGATCGATCTTCATATCCTAGTGGATTTACTAAGATTGGACCTACTAAGACTGGCTTTACTACTGCTACTTTAGGCGCGGGAGGTAGTTACGTAATTAGTACTGGAAAATCAGTTCCAACTCCTAATCCTGAACATATTGGCGCGAAAGCTTTCGAAGGTAATGTAGCAGGATACACGAAATCATCCACTGAAAGCAGTGTCAATGCAGCCTATTCAGGAGCAACTTCGACATACAGTCAAGATATCGGTCAGTCTAAACCTAATCTAGGACTTTCGAAGAGTCCTACCTATTCCTATCCTACACCTAATATATCATTTGATAGTGGAGTAACGAAAATTCTACCAATCTCCTCGACAAAGGGCAGTTTTATTACTGCAACTACTCCAACGCCTTTCTTGAATGTTGAATTGTATAATACGCCAAAATTCAGTGAACCTGTCAATCCAACTGTAGGCACTTATCAGAGACCAAGTGGCTTCACACGTGCACCTACAATTGGTACACCTGTTGGTTATACTATTGGACCATTTGACAATTATAAAACAACAGTCTTTGAAGCAGCTAAAATTCCAATCAGTGTATCCACAGTTCATCCACTGATCGATACTGGATATAAGACTGTTGTATCTTCGACGCCTGTTCCTGTGACTATAAGTCAGGACAAATATCGTACTCAGACTCAATCCAAATTTGATTTTGGAATAAAAACTACTCAACAGGGCGAATATGTTACTAGTACACCAGCAACAGTGTTCAAGATATCAGGTCCAGAGGTATGTCTTTTTCTTAATTATCTATCTGGAAGATTATTGTTGTATGATTTATAATAATTTTATTAATGATATTTTTAGTTTGGATCTACTACTCCATCATCCAGTTCTGGATATTTCACTACAACCAAGAACGTGTTTGAAACTGTAACACCTTCTGGTATTTCAGAATCATTGAAACAGGTAAATTTTAAGAACATTTTGATTTATTAATTATTAAATAAGATCATCATTATCTAATAAATATATTTTTTGTTTAAATTGTGATTTTATTCAATTTTCAGTATTTGCCTAGCGGCACAATCTCGCCAGCCATTGATACAACATATCAATATAGAAAACCTAGTGTTATTTATCAACAATCAACACCAGCAACTTCTAAAACATACACTATAGAATCGGTTACTAGTGATGGTTCTCCTACGAACGTAGGAATTTCTAAAGAAGAAGTTGGAAAATTGATTACTAATTATAGAGGCAATACAAAATATGTGCCAAGCCAATATGATATTTACACAACAGGATCTATTTCTGGAGCAGATTACTCCAAGATTCATCAACAATCATCAACATCCAAGCCAGGTTATGTTGCATCAACATCCTCAGCCACTAAAACGACACAATCGCCTTTCTCAGTGACTACTTATTCTGGAGGTTATTCAAAACCATCCTCGATCATCACTTACCAAACTACTGCCAAGTCGACAGCTGTAGGTAAAGGCAAAGTGATAGTGAAATGGAGTGATTTGCACCCTCTTCTGCTTGGAAAATTAGGTGCAGAATGCACCTGTAGAGGAGATCCTTTCGCCAATCTTAGAGGTCCAGGTTCCAAATTGATTGATTCCTCCAAAGGCAAAGTGGATCTATCCAATTACGACGAATCAGAAATTTACGTAGATCTTGAGAAGGAAAATAACTCATACGAGGATGGAGATTATGTGACCAATTACGAATCTTCTAAAGGACCAATAAAGATCTGGAACAATCAAATACAGAGTCATTCCCAAATCCAAGAGACACCATCATCTGGTTATCTGCCAAGTGTTACTCCTTCAATAAGCCCTGATACTTCAAAATTCACTGCCAATTACAGATCTGGAAAGAGTTTGAACAATGTTGGCTCTTCTACCAATATCATTAGTGCCACCAGAAATTTAGATACACCTGTGAACCACTTTGATGGAGATGGTGAATCGGAGGAGATCATAGATGGAGCCACCAACTGTGCTAGACCAGGTTTGTTCAGACATCCCAACTTCTGCAATAAATTTTACGCTTGTCATTGGGACGAGTGGAAGAAGAAGTTCACGCTCCACATGTTCAACTGCCCTGTGCATTTAACCTTCGACAATGGCGCCGGAGCATGCAATTGGCCGAGCATGGGTCCAGCCTGCCAGGACGATAATTTGTTAGTTTAGATGGTTCATTGTTCAACAGATCTTCTCGATCTTACGTATCGCGATACCATCTTCTTCTTTGATATAATTGAATACGAAAATTTGAAGATGTGGAGGCAAGTTACCATATAATTTCTAAATTTAATTTTATACTTTTCCTAGATTTCAATTTTAATGTGTAAATATTTGTTGTGTTTTTTTTTTTAATTTAATCTTAAATTTTTTGTAAATTTTTTTTTATTCATTATTCATTGTTTAATTTTAGATTTCTGCTATTTCAGTTTTGAAAAGATACAATATTTTTTTCTTTTTCAATTCTTCAAAGAATAAATTAAAAGCATTACTATTTCTATTTGCATCTGGAAGTTGTTTCCTTCGCAATTGTAAATATCACGGTCATTGATTTTTTTCTAATTTATTATTTTTAATATGAGTTTCAATCCATTCTTTACATTGCAAATTTTCTTCACATACACTGTATCATATCTCAGAATATTTATCGTCGTTCAAAGTTTTTATTTATTAAAAAATATTTTTTAATGGATAAATAATGTTTTAAAATTGTATGACAAATATTATAAAACGCAGTAATTTATGTTCAGTCTCTTTATCATTGAAAAAGATATATATACGAGTATGAAGGAATATTTTTCTGAGGTAACAAGAATAAAGACAAAGAATAAAGAGAGATCCAAGGAGATCGAGATATCGCGATGCGAAAGTACACTGTTCAGAGTGAAAGTCAAGCTGTGCTCACCGATCCGAATCGCGAAAGAGAAAAAGTTGATGCTGTGTGCGATTCGATTGTAAATAACGTCCCCTACTCTTCGAAATTTGTAAATAACGAATTAACATTAAAAAAAAAAAAAAAAGAATTAAGCAAGGAAAACAAAAGCAAACGCAAAAATTAACCCTTTCTGATCTGAATTTTTACTGCCAAATGAAGGAAATATATTGTTGTACATAATCGTTAAGTTTGAAAAAAATGAAGAAAACGAGAGTAAGAGAATAAGAAAGATTAATATTTTCTTTTTACAGAAGAATTTAATGATAAATCTTGATCTTAAAAATCTATAATTATTTATTGATATTAGATACAAAAGAGAATATATTTATATTGACAATTGTCAAATTTTTGATAGATTATTTTCTTACAGAAAAAATTGAGAAGAGTCGAAATTGAAATTTGTATAAAAAGATAAAATAAATGAAAAAGCGCGAAAAAATATAATAAATTTAAGGGAACGAGAAGCTGGGTCCAAAAAAATAGTTGAAATTCAAACTGAAATTCAACGAATATTATTATCGTTTATTTTTATTGAATAATTTTTTTTAATTAATTATTGGCGATTTATATTTGTATATATTTTATAGGATAATATCGTATAACAGTAATATGTATTCCTGAATATGTTTATCTTTTTTATTAGTTTTTTCGTACATCCTATCAATGGCGGGAAAATTTAAACCTTCTTTATGCACTACTTACTTTTAAGCTTACCTTGACTCCGTGTTCATTTCGTTCCTATCTTTCTATTTACTATTTCCCCGCTTCTTCTCGATGCAATTATTATTTATTTGCCGCTTGTTATTACTAGAATTTAAGGGTTTATTGCGACAAATCCTTGCAAGATCGTTTTTACATCAATGAGAATTTCCTTTTATTGTCAATTTTACACACTTTTTAGGTCGAAGCTTCGATAATCGTGCCATTTCATTGTGGTTGTCTAATGTAATGTTACGAACTTAGAATAAATATATGATAATTGTACAAAAAAAAAAAGAAGAAATCTATTTCTACTTATTTTGTACTTTTCTTTTTATTTAGATTGCATGTATATTATGTAAAATGTATTTTGCTTATGTTATTAAATAAGAAAAAAAAAATACATTTGTCCATTCAATCTTTTGTTTGAAGTTAAACTTTCTTCATTTAGGAAAAGCGTGATTACTTTCTATATAAAGATGAAGATATTTATCATATTGGCCTCCAAAATGAAATAGCAAGTTTCATCTAAAAATTTTATTAATGTTTAAAAAATATATATGTTTTGTATTTTTTTTGTTTAAGTTTCAAAAAGTGTAATAATTTTAAGAGATAAGTATGAAAAGTAAATATAAAATAGATAAATAAAACAAACTTCAGAATATTTTAACATGCCATCTTCTTCCTAATTATATTCTTCTGATACGAAATACTATAAATAAATGAAAAATTTTTGCGCCTAAAATTTCGAGTTTCTGTTGGAAGAATATAATTTAATGTTCAAAATTTTTCAAGAAATTTAATAAAATTAATTTTTTAATTTTATCTTTTACTTATCTTTTTCATACTTATCTTTTTAGTTGCCATATAAGAAAAAAAAACATTTTTCCAACATTTTAATTTTAATATTTATTTTATGTATACTTATCTTTCAAACAGCATAAAAAAAAAATAAAAATATACATAAAACATTTCGAAAGTGTAAATGAAACAAATAATAGAAAAAGATAGAAATAAATTTAATAGTGACATTTTTTGAATGTTAAAAATATTTCTTCTAAAACATCATAAAATAAGATAAGAATTGAACTCTTTGCGCCATCTTTTATGAAAAGAAAAAATATTAAAAAATATTCTTAAGTTGGTATTCTTAAGATGATTGATCCCCTCTTCTATCTTTTTTTTATAGAAATATCTTTGACACTCAAGAGATGGCGATTACTATCAATTCTTATTCTATCTCTGTCCTTTTTTTATATCTCTCCTTCTTATTCTAATTTGTTTCATTTGCGGCACTCTGGAGATGGCGCTGATTCCCTAATTTTTATTTTATATCTATCCTTTTCCTACCCTTTTCTATCCTTGTCTGATATCAATCGACTATGCACTCATTGAATATATTGATATAAAATTTTACTAATATTATTTATCTGTATATACTCTGAATATTAATTAATAATAATTAATATAATTTATTAATAATATTAGTAATTAATATTAATAGTCAATAAATATTAATTATAGATAATTATTCTTTAACACCAATTATTTTTTAATTGGTAATTAATTTTCGTTTTCTGATAACAAATAATAACTATTGTTTTTTAATAATTAGTTATTGATTAATAATTATAATATAATATAGAAACAATAAAAAAAGTAATCTATTTACGTTCTTTTTAAGAAAATATTATATTTAGATAAAATGAAATAATTGAGAAAAATTGATTTAAGGCTATTTGTTTGATTTTTTAGATGTTCCATTTCCCATAGAAAGAAATGGAGAGTCTATAGAGAGGCGAAGAAGTGAAAATGGAGGTCACTATAAGTAAACTCTATCTCGAATGACCCACTGATACATTTTCATCAGCTTCTTAAGTGGGAAACGGCATACAAACACAGTAATTTCATTAATTCTCTATTTATAATGTAAATATCTTTAAATGATAGAAAACTTGTTCACCTTAGAGTTTTTCCTTCCATATTATAATTTTAAATTCTAATTTAACCAATTTTTGATAAATATGAATCTTGTTTACGTAATATATTGATTAATAAGCAATCTCTTATCACAATCCATTATAAAACAAAAAAAAAGTATTTCTATTAAATGAAGGAGAAAGTAGTTTAAGAAATTAGGAAAAAAATAATTTCGTTTATAATATATTATTTGATTTTTTAATTTAAGATCAATCAAAATTTCAAATAAAATATTACAATTTATCAAATTTTTAATAATACAAATTATATTTATGTAAAAGTGATTGATAGGTGATCTGTTATAAAACAAAAATACTCGAATACCATAATATTTAAAGGAAAGTTTGTAATTTATGAAATTTTCTCTAGTAATAGGCTAGTGACCACCACAATTATGATTCGTGCTTTCATATGTCATTTCAGACCCTTTCTACCATCAATTCATAGATTACGCAAAATTTGTACATTCTCTCAGAGAAAGATCAGTTGTTTGACTAGATACAGGCAATCATTTCCTGTCGAAATATATTTGCATCACGTAAATTAACATAATCAATGTAAGGAACAGCGTTATTTTTGCATAATTATTATTTTATACATTTGATGATATCATTTTTATGCAAAAAAATGATAATATTTTTTATATATTATACAATTTGCATTATTTCAAAGCTTAAAAAATCAATCAGTATAGTATTTTCTTTTTAAATAAATAATCATTTGCAATTCATATTATTTTCGTCAGAAAGATGCACTCGTATTTCTTCGTATAGATTTCTAATGTTAAATTTCTAATGTTAAATGATTTTATTTCGTTACATATTTATAGAAAGTGTAACTGTAATAAATTTGAAAAAAAAAAAAATCAAGATTACTTTCAGAAATGCGTAGAACCGGTGAACGCGATGCAGAATCAAGGAATAACTCGATACAAACAAGATAACACGAACCGAAAGCCAAAGTGAAAGTTATTATTATTTTTTTCGTGATACATAGCAATCGATATCCTAGAGTGGAACTTTATTTCTGAGATCAAAGATTAGGTGTGCCAATTTTTGCATACATTTGCATACGATTACAGGGAAAAAATATTTTGAAGTTTGTTGTTCGAAGGTATATAGCATAAATTATGCCATTGGCAATTGCATAAACACGATAATATTAAATAACCCATGTTCGCGCAACTAAATAACTGATTCGATATCGAGGAAGCGATTGAAATCTCAAGATATGAATAATTTTATTAAAATATTCGATCGTATCATAATATTCATGCAACTATTTTATTCGGTATTATTCTAGAAGGAGAAAAGAAAAGAAAAAAACGAAGAAGAAATTCGAAATATCATCGGTGGATTGAAAGATTCAAAATTAAAAAAGAATTGGAACACGCTGAAGATAGAAGAAATTGGAAAACTTAGAAAATTGAAAAATTGAAAGTGGAATAATTTATATATCGAGCATGTAAGTATAATTATTTCACATTGTCCTAGTTACCATTATGCTTATATCCAATTACGCCATTGTATACCAAAATAGAAACTTTATTTCTATTCGCATTAAATTTACCCATAGAATTTTTTCAGATAATTGTATATAATTTACCTTCTACATTACGCATAATAAAGATAATGCATAAATTGAAATGTCACTTGAAAGACCAGATTAATGGCGTTTGTTCAGAGAAATTTATTTCTCTATTAATTTCTATATCACTTTGAGACAAAGATTAGTCGAATAAATATTCATTTCCGCATAGTGAATGTTATAACAATACAGATATAGATTTATTTTGTGTATCTATATCAAATTGTAATCATTTAGTAAGTATTTTTGATTTATTTTTATCAAATGTTTCTTAAATTTATTTTTCCTTCCATTTCTTTTAGTCAAATACATTATTATATTTATATTTTTCACTTTTCAAATTATTTATTATAAAACATTCCTCAATAAAATTAGATCAAAATATTAATAAAACGTGTAATTTATTAAATTATTAAGACTACAATATACAAGATTTCTAAAAGTGAAAAATAGCAAAATCTTCATCTCCCAATTTGAATAAAAATCAAAATAAATCAAACTACTACTTTCAATCTCCATCAATTCCAAAAATTTAATAAATTAATTTATTCCCTAACGATATTTATTATTAAAAATAATAATTTGAAAATTAAAAAAATAAAAATAAATTCTAGATTTCCACTTTCGTTTCTATTTAATACCATATCACAGAGCTTTCCAATCTGAGCTTCGAGTTATTTGACTATCTATTTCTCTACTAATGTTGGCAGAAAGAAGGAGAGAAAGAGAAAGAGAGAGAGGAAGGGAGGGAGGAAGGAAGAGAGGGGACTCAAGAGCAGAATACTTTACTTATTCGACACGAGGAAAAGGAAAGGAAGGAGACGAGGGAGGAAAGACATTGGAGGTGGCATCAAGCTGTCCACTCTCCAAGGTAATATAAAGCCGTTGCGTCGACTTCACCTGGTTCAACTTACTTGGAACATCGAACAAGTTGCTCTGTCCAACGAGATTGGGGACGTCCGCCACAGCCACACCACTTTCTACCATCATGTGAGTCCCTTTAAAATCATTAATTTCTTAATTTCTTTCTTTTCATATTCTTTTCATATTACGAAGTAAATTGATAATTTGATTGAAATTTATTAAAATAGGATTTTCTTAATATTTTTCATCCACTAAATAATTTTTTTTTGAACGGATCATCATCAATTTATCGTAATATTTTTGATTGAACATATTTATATATAATTATATAAAATAAGTTTTTGATTATAGAAGTTTGCCGATTCATTTCCTCTTCCCCTCTTTTTTTTTTTTAGTTTAATCTAATATTCCAATGAGTCATCATGAGCGATAACGAAGAATTGAATTAAAAAAGCGAAGAATTTTTCGAAAAATCAAATACATCGATAAAGCCTCTATCCAATATCTTTTCAGCAATAATAATATCAATTAAATTTGTAGCATTTCAGAATTTAAGAATTTATTTTTACAATTCATTGATTTAATTTTTAATTCGAAGGTAATCATAAACTTAGAGAGGTTAATAGTAATCACAAACTTTTTTAAAATATTTTTATATATATTCAGATAAAATTTAACTGCTCTACGTGTAATTCTACGTGAAAACATTATAATCTTTGTAATATTACGATATCAACTCGATGAATACTATGAATACTATTTACGTTACAAAATAGGAATAATTCACACATTAGCACCAGTTTATTTTTTACAATGTTTAAATTGAGAATTTTCTACACAGATATATTAATATTTTATGGAATATTTTTGCTCAACAGTAATAAACAGCGATCTTTAAGAACTCTCTTTCGAGTAGGTACGTCAAGGAGAGCACGCAGACTTTATCTCATTAATTTGTATTTCGCGATAAATGGATCACGTTGCATATCGTGTCATAATGTATGCAAATTCGTTGCATAATACGAGCGATGTAATATTCTAACGCCATTTTCTATATAACTCACCAGGCAATTTATTTTATCGATCTGAAATATATATTTTAAAATTTTCTTTCTAATAGAAAACGGGGAAAATTTTTCACGCTAATAATATAAAAAATTAATAGTGGAGAACAGAATGTAAAACAATTCATCTTTAAAATTTTACAACGAAGCAATAAAAAATTTATTCTCTTCCAAGAAACTCAATAACAAGATTTAAGTATCTAAATATCGTGTAATATTTACATAAATTTGCATATCTATATTTAAATTCCCATAATAATTTTAATTAAACTTTGTCGATTGCTTCATAATTGATGATTGATTAAAAACGATTCGAATCGAAAAAGGATTCGTGTAGATCCTTTTCCTTTTTTTTTTTTTTTTTTTCCCCCTTAGAAATCTTTGAAACGAAGTCACGAATTGTCGTGTTTATTGTATCATTCCAATTATCGTGGGCGACATTAACGTATCGCACGTGAGATTGTCGCCTTGAAACTCACGAAAGTGAAAGGATTTCTGATTTTATCTTTCACGGGTAAATGCGATTCAGGGGTTAAAAGTGCATTAGTATTACACACTCACTTTTAATTATGCAGTTCATTCTTTCCTCCTCCATTCTCCATAGATTCTAATCAATGTTCGAATCAATCGAATTTAGAAAAAGAAATATTTTTCAATTCAATTTAGAATATTTATTTGATTAATTCTCTCTTTTTTTTTATATTCTTGTTGAGAAAATGTCGCGTTTGTTTCTCTGTATTAATTAATTTTCGGTAATTATTTATGTATTAACGAAGATAAGACAGATACCGAATTAAACGAAGTTAATCGAATTGGAATTATTATGAATTATTATGAACGTTCGAAGCGAGGGACACATAAGAATAAAGTTATTATTGAAGCGGATGCAATAAATAAATAAAAGGGTAAAAGGTAAAAAATTAATTGTATATTGCACATAACGTGACTTTCTCTCGATATAAGATAGAAAGTTTAATACGATTGGCATTTCTGGTAGATCGTGCTTGAAGAATGAATGCTTCTTATTGATTTCATCGTGCCAGATATACGGTTTAATAGAACAAGACCGATAATTGCAATGAATTTTACGCTCGATTTGTTGAAACATCTCTGTTCGAGATTATTATATCACATTGCACACGACATATAAAAAAGAAAAATGAGGAGAAGCAAAACTTTGTAGTACAATTTTATCTCGATAAAAATAATTCCGAAAAATTATGAAATTGTGAAATTCAATTCGATTAAAAAATTAAAAAAAGAAAAAAATTGAACGATTGAAAAAACGAAAGATTAAAAGATCGGAAGAAGAGCTGAGAGAAAATTGAGAGAAGAAGAATCGAACGTTAATCGATATTTCATTTCAATGAAAAAAAGGAAAAAAGCTCCGTCCATCGAGTTCTCAGTTGGAATAATATCTGGTGCAAGAAAGCAACCGATTTCACCGGAGAACAGAGATAACCGAAACTGGTACGCCCGAAAACGAAAGTAGTCCGGGATAAGGGAAAGATCTGTGTGTGTAAATGATAATAAAAATAAGAAAGAAAAATGAAAAAGGTGAAGCGAATGGAGAGGTAGCCGCGAGCAGTGAAAGTCCGTAAACCGGGTTGAACTTTGCCAAGAATGGTCAGGTCTGTGATTTAAAACGTGATTCAAACGAGAGAAGAAAAAAAAAGGAGGGGGGGGGAGGGGGAAGGGGAAGAAAAAATAAACGAGATGAAATTAAAAATGATTCGAGCTACGTACTTCTTACGTAAGAACGAAACGAAGATTTATTTTTCTACTGCGTTTGATAATTTTTTTTTATTTTTCTGTATTAACATACTCTGTATTAACATATAATACTTTAACATTATTCGCAATGGATACGAAAAATATTTCCACATTTTCTAACAATGCATTTTTTTTTTCAGAATTTATTATATATCGTTTCCACGATGTTAAATTTTTGCAATAAAAATGATTGAATTAATTAATAATTGTATAACCGGATATTTTAATTAAAATCATGTCATGTTTGATTGAATTAAATCGATCGACGTATTTTCTCAATCAGTATCGCGTTCCAATGTAATCAATGTTACAAAAATAAGATTTAACGAGGAGAGCCGACAACTTATGAGTCATCGATAATTATCATTATAATTCCACCGAGTGGTGTGGCATGGAAACGTGAAAAAGATTGCCATTCCTTCGCGAACGTGTTCACGCGACGTTTGAGAAATTTAAACGATAAACAAAATGTAATTTGATTCGTGTTATTATTATATCGTGACTTATATCGTAAATCGTTCTGACCACGTAAAAATATTTTGTTACAGGGTGGTGTGGCTAGTGTTGATAGCAACATCATCTATCCTGGCGGAGGCGGCTATACCGGATCCACCAAATTCCAAAGCCTCGGCTGTCAACCCGTTGAAACTGTCAACTGCGGTGGATTGCACCGGAGTTATTGCTTTTTCGGCGACCCATGCTTCTGTCGATGTGAGTATTTTAAATCCGAGTTTTTAAATTTTATATTAAAAAAGAAAAAGAAAAAAATGTGACGAAATCTTAGAGGATCATTTACATAAATTACGTATAGGCTTTTCTAAATTCTTAATTTAAATACACGATGTTTTAAAACATCGTCAATAAACATCCTCCTCTTGCACAACAATTTTGCAATGACTTTAACTTGTTACGATATTGATCAATCGATAAGTTGGGAGGTATAGGTTATAAATTTTTGTTTTACATTATCAACATTATTATTATTGAATAGAATAATCCGTTGCCTTATAATTTGCCTTTAAATTTTCGTTTTATTTATTTGAACTTGTTATTTATAAAATTTTGCTGATAATTATGCAAAAAAAAACATCTTTCAAATTCATAATAGTTTTCAAGATTTTTTTCAAAAGTATTCGTATTAAAAATAAAAAGATATTTCATACGAAAAAAAAAAATAGAAATGATTTGTTAACTCATCTCAACAATTGAATTTAATCAGTTAACAAGACAGACTCTGAACCGAGTCTAACCATTTTCAAAAAAATGATCCATCAGCTTCTAAATTTGAGGATTTATTTAAAAAAATCAAATTTTTATTTGATCCACCAGCATGCCAAAGCTGTGTTCGCCGAGACACTGGTCGACAAAGGCGTGGGTTACGTACCCCAAACAGGAATTTTCATCACCAACTGTCCAGGCCTGTATCAATTCAGCTTTGCCGGATATGGAAGCACCGATCTACGATTAACTTTGAAAAAGAAACAAAACAATTCTGACAGCTGGAGACCTGTGGTTGGCACTGGTGCAGGAGGTGGTGCTAATTTGATCTTGCTGGAAGTCGATCTTGGAGATCAGCTAGCCGTCTTCGTCGATAGTGGAAAAATATCAGACGGCGTCACATTCTCTGGATACAGAATTGCTAAAATATGATCTATCAATTCGTATAATTGAACCACCGAGATGACAACGATCGCTTTTTTTTAATAACAAATATCAAAAATGATTTAAAGTATTTAACTCGTGCGAATCTAAATTGGACTTAATTTCGAATCGATAATGTGAAACTGTTTTTTTTTTTCTTTTCTTGAAATAATTTCTTCAGCAGTTAATCGTTTACTCGTCAATTTTTATTACAAATTATTTTTCGAAATTGATTTGCTTATATCTACGGAAGAATTTGAAATCGATCTGATATTAGAAAATACAAAATTGAGTAGTAGTTTTTGATGAATCGAAGGTGGAAATTTAAATTCGTTATTGAATTTCTTCAATGAATATTTTTGGATTGGATTTAATCGTGATCCTAATTGAGAAACATTCGATCAGAGCGATTTTAACCTTCTCCACGAATTTAACGCTCTGTGATAGCTCCCTTTCTATCTATTTTATTTTCCATATGTCTCGCAATTTCTTTGATCATCTGTCAAAATAATATTATCATGGATTATTGAAATTGTGAGACAACTGAATTTTTTATGTATTGCCTTCTTGTTTTTCTTTCTTTCCTTTCTATTCATTGTTTTATTTTTATTTTACCTATCAGTACAATTCTTTTTGTCAAATTTCATTCATTTGTTCTTCTTTTTATAATTTTTTTTCTTTTTCGGTAAAAATGACGTTTCTATACTACATCACTTTTCTTCTTTCTTCATTTTTCTTCAATTATTATTGAAATTTTTTATCTTTTTATCTTTCTATTCCTTCGAATCCTGAATTTTCTTCCTTATTTTTTAAATTATTCTTCTTCTACTTAGTCTCCTCAAATACCTCTGTCAGTATTACTACGTCAAAATTAATCTTGCTACAAATAATTTTCCATTTATTTTTCTCTATTTCAAGTCTATACTCGCCTTATTTATCTCTTTTCCTATATATTTTACTTTCTCTTGTTACAACTACTATATTATATAGAATCTATTCTTTTTGCTATGTTACTATTTTAATGACAGACTTTCACTTCTGACTTTAAATCTTTTTTATTTCTCATACTCTTTTATTTCCTTGTATTTCAGTTTTAATTAACTTTTATTTTATTTTTTTTTATGAACTCAAGAATATACTGAAGTACCTGAAATTTTATGTTATAGCACTTCATTTTCATTTCTGAGTGCTAGTAACATTACTTTTTTTTTTTTTAATTTCTTTAATGATTTATTTTATAACTGCTTCTATACTATTGCTATTTTTAGCTGTTTTATGTTCCTTTATGATCTCTATTTCTTCTTTTTTTCTAATCTGTTCTTGTTCTGTTGTTCTTTCTATTATTAGTTTATTTCCGTTTTCTCAATCTTATTTTCTATTCATGTTCTTTTATCTTTTATTATGTTTGTGATTTATTTTATTGTTATTCTATATCTATTATTTAATTTTTTTCAATTCTATTTTTTCTTTCACAAGTTTTTTCATATTTCTTTTATCGAATTTAAATACTACTTTCTACCTCTGTATATTATACTATCTCTTATGTGTGTGTTTTCTTTTTCTGAACTTGTTTCTATCTGTTATCACTATATTTTATCATACTTTTCCTTTCTGTATTTAAAAATTCTTTTCACTATTTTCTGTAAATATTAGTTTCATTCTTCTTTTATTACTTTAGTTTTTCTCATTGAACTTTCCTTTTTCTTCATCTATATCTACTATTTGAAAAATTATTTACTTTAATTTCTTTGACTTTATTTCTTCTTTTCAATATATTTTTTTCTCCATTATAAATTTGATCTATATTTATTTCTTCTTCATTTTCATTTCTTTTTCATCTTTCCAATTTTGTAAATACTTATCTAAATTTTCTTTTATTATCCTACAACTATTCTATATCTCCATTCTATTCTAAATTTTTATTTTATCTTTTCTATTTTCTTATTTTTGAACTTTCTCTTTTCGTTTAAAAATATTTTTTTTCTTGCTTCGTTTATGGAAAAATACTCCAAATGCTATATATTTCATTCTCTTTTTCTTCTTTCTATATCTATTCTATATCTACTATTTGCAAACTATTTATTCTTTCCTTCGTTCTTCTTTCTATTTCATATTTCAGTAAAATTCTTTTCCAAATTTCTACTTCAATTTCTACTTTTTCTTTTTACTTATCTCTTTTTATTTCTACTTATCTCTTCATTTTCTCCTCTTCTGTCTATTTCTGTCTACATTTCTGTTTTACTTGTCGATAAAACCATCTTGAATTCAACACTCAATACTTCTCCATGTATTGAAAGAACAATCTAAATATTCAAGGAAAAAGATGCGCCATTAAAAACCGGAAGTGCATATGTTGCGTCATTTTCGATCAGGAAACCGCGTTTCCTCTTATATTCTCTCACTTCTAGTCTAGTCTTCCCACCTATCGTTACCTGGATCTATTCTACGAAAACTATAAACAACGAGAACAATGCGTAATTCTTCTCATACTGTGATTCTCAAGTGCTATAGTCATTTAAATCTAAATATGTACACGAGACTGTAATCACGTATTTCCATTCACGTATATCTTGCGAATTAATATAAAATTTCTTTTTTTTTTCAGGATACAAAGTTAACTTTAATCTCTCGTTGTAAGTTAACAGTTGCTTGATTGTTTCTTTTTTTTTTCTTCACTCTATTTGCTATTTCTTTGAAGAGAAAGATGTACGTATTTTTTTTTACAAATTTATTAATTTTTTTACAAATTAGAAAAAAATAAGAAAACGAATCGAACAACTGTTAGCCACTGTGCCTTGACTATCTGTTTACAATAAACAATCAGTCTCTACATCTCTGTCTTTCTTTTTACATATTCTTCTCTACCTATTCTTGTCATATAATAATTTACTTCATCTCTCTATCTCTTATTCTTCCATATCTTTTTTTCTTTTTTTCCCTTCTTGAGTGTAAATATGAAAATTGACGACTCTTTTAAAAAGTTTCTTCTTTTCTTCTCTCGTTCGATTCTTCTTTTGCTATCACAGCAGCTACGTTTTCGACAAGTTTTTAATAGAGAATCGTAGAGATATAAATCGATAATTTTAACCCTTTCGTTATTAAAGATGATTATCCAATTATCCAGTGCTGATCATCTCTCTTGCACGCAATTGAACTAATTATTACTAATGAAACTTTACAAGTTGGAAATTACAAGTTATTATTCTATTTCATATCGTTTATTAAAATAAATAAGCTTTCAGAGATTATTACTTAAATTTTAAAAATTATAACTTAACTGATTATCATATTTCATGTAAAATTGAAGTGATTTTTTTTACAACTTGTAATTTATCAATTCAATGTTATTAGTAAATTAATTATCGTGCAAGAAAGCCTTGATCTATTCTAAAAGAGATTAAAATCATCCCTCAATTTATATTAATAAAATTTCTATCTAGTATTCTTAATTGATATATTTTTGCGGAATTGTTTCGTTCAATTTTTATATTGTAAGATATTGGCAAAGAATCATGACGAAAGGGTTAATAAAAGAAGAAAACGTTCAGTGCGAAAGAAGCGTGCGCCTAATTGCGAAACAATCCAATTTTACAATTGTCCTGATTTTTATTCAGTTCTGATCTTTGTAAAGTTTACAAATAATAACAATATCTTGTATACGCTTTGTTTTGCTTTCGAAATACGTAAAAATAGCAGGGAAAAAATTAAAAAAAAAAAAGAAAAAAATTAAAAAATTAAAAATTGAAGAAAAGAATTAAAAAATTCTATATCGAAGAATTAAAAAATTAGGATTAGAAAAGAAAATCCTGCGAAAAATAAAAAAAAATTCAAGTTTAATCAAATATTGAGTTCCACGCTTTCATCTAAGAGTCCTTGGTAATTTTCGAGCACAGGTTGAACTTCCTCTTCTAAAAATTCAATGACTTGTTCAGGTGCTCTGCCAACGAAAGTTCGTGGATCTAGAAGATTGTCCAATTGATCGAGGATCGGTTTGAAATAAGGATCCTTCTTAATCCTCTCGACTAGATCATTGTCCTTGCCATATTGCTTCACCTGTGCACCTGCTTCTTGGGACAACACTCTTATTTTCTCGTGACAAACCTGTTACAGAAGAGTAACATTGATTTTCTATGATAGAGAGAATGGTTAAAATATTTTTCTTTTTTCTTTTCTTTGATAATTTTATATATGATATTAATTTTTCTATGAGATAGTTCGAAATAGCAATAACTCGTTGTTAATTTAAATTTATGAAATTCAATAAAACTTTGAAATATTCAAGAGATTAGTAAAAATATTAATTCCAAATTAATGCAATTTAATTTCAATTTTTCAAAAAAAATTTTAATTTTCTTTCAATTTTGAAATTGCTATTCCTGAACAAATGACCAAAGATCTTGACACAAGTATATCATATTAATAATAATAATAATGTTTCATTTAAATTACAGATTTTTAAATTTCTATCTACTCTGATCAACTAATAATTCAAACAATAAAAATCGCACCTGTCTATCACCTCCAGCTTTTACCATAGCCATTATCACATTTTCTGAGGCCATGAAAGGTAATTCTTGGTCGATGTGCCTGGCAATGACATTGGGATAAACGATCATACCCTCTGTAATATTTTGAAGTGTCATTAAAATCACATCCCCGGATAAAAATGCTTCAGAAAGGGTAATTCTTCTATTGGCAGAGTCGTCCAATGTTCTTTCCATCCATTGAGTAGCTGCTGTTTGTAAAGCATTGTTAACCAACGACATCAAATGCCTTGCTATGCTGCAACATCTTTCTGATCGCATTGGGTTCCTTTTGTATGGCATTGCACTTGATCCAATTTGAGTGCTTTCGAATGGCTCATCGATTTCTTTCATACTTGCCAACAACCGAATGTCGCTACATATCTGAAGATATAAAAATTACCAACATCAATTTTAAAAAGAAAATGAAAATATCATTCAGAAGAAAAATTTTCCAAATTTGATTTTTTGAAAATAAAATACTTGATTTTTTGAAAATAAAATAAAGATACTCCTTTCACCTTATGGACAGTGGATCCTAAGGAACTTAGAACGTTTAAACATTCCACATCAACCTTTCTACTATAAGTTTGCCCCGTTACAGGATAACACTTCTCGAATCCCGCCATTTTGGTTACCAACCGATCCAACTTCTTCACCTTTTCTCCATCGCCTGAAGAATTGAAAATCATACAAGAATTTTTAATTAAAAATCGAGATGGAAAGATCTCAAGATTCTTACAATCCGTTTGATAAAATAATTATCGAACAAGCAACTTACCATTGAACAACTGAAGGAACGATGCTTGGGTGCCGGTCGTGCCTTTCACGCCTCGAAACTTCAGATCGTCCCTGGCTCGTCGAATAGCTCTCTCGTCCATCAGAAGATCGTGCAGCCACAACGTTGCTCGTTTTCCAACAGTTGTAAGTTGCGCAGGTTGAAGATGAGTGAATCCCAATGTTGGCAACTCCCGATACATCATCGCAAATTTGGCGAGGCGCGACAAAACATTAGCCAATTTCGGAAGAAGGATATCGAATCCTTGGCGAAGAACGATTAAATCCTTGAAAAATGGCAACGGATAAAGTGTAACAACGAGTGGTTCTAAGATATTTCTTTTATATATATATATATGTATTACCGTGTTGTCACCGACGTAGCAACTTGTCGCCCCCAGATGAATTATGGGAGCTGCTTTCGGGCATTGATTCCCGAAAACGTGGACGTGAGCCATTACGTCGTGTCTGGTGGCCTTTTCTTCCTTCGCCGCTGCGTCGAAGTCGATGTCGTTCACGTGGGCTTCCATTTCCGCGATTTGTTCAGGGGTAATGGCCAGGCCCAGCTCCTGGAATAACATCGAACATAAAGTAATATCTAATAATATTTTACCCTGAATTTTAAATAAAAAGAAAAAAGAATGGCAGATATTTTTAATAGATATAAAATGACGACGATATTCGTGGATTGAGAAGAAAGGAAGAGGAAAATCTGATACGTGGAAAACTGGTTTTTATCTTTTTTTGGAAAAATTCACGACATTCTGAATCATCGTTGATAAATATTTGAATATAATTAAAAGATATTTCTTTTTTTCTTTTTTTCATTTAACGCATTGCGTAGAGAATAATTATTTTCGTTATTTTTTGAAGGGAACGAAGAGTTGAAAATATCTTTTCGATGGCATCAAAGTATATATATATACATATATAGTATATTATCGTTCGAGAGATAATACGGTATAAATGTACGGGTGTTATTTTTTACACGTCTTATCCCGCTTTCATACACGCATACGCTGTATCATCTGATTAGATAAAGAGAGGGCTTAGTACTCTCGAAACCAGCACGTTTTTACTTCAGATCCACCTGTTTCTGATCGTGAAGAGTGAGCATCGAAAAACTAAACATGGTGTCTTTGGAAACTGTCGCGGGTATAGTGATAAAAATTCTCAAGTTGGTGAGGAAAATAATTCTTCGACTAACCGATCAATTATCCAATTGTAAACAAATGGAATAAAACAAATCGATAATTCGTGAATAATAGAGAGGATATTAAAATTGAATTAATAATAATAAATAACTAAACAATATATTCTTATTAATATCCGGATTTTATTTTAGTTTCGTTAATTCGAGAAAGAATTATTAAAATATCTTGTTTTTTCTCGACAAAATTTTTATATACGTTCACAAATAACGAGAATAATTAAATAGCTCTATTTTACATAAATAAAATAATTAATGCATTGACGTGGATATGAATCAATGATACACAAATTTCGTGGATATATAATTTTTCATCGTTTTTACAAAAGTTATATTTAATTTACAAGAATAACGAAAGGGAATGAATAATATGATGTATATTAAAAAGAATTATTTTTTTTTATCGATAGATGATCGATTATCTTATAAATAAATTTACTTTGCAATAATAGTACACATATAATAGCGAAGTCGTGATTTATATGGTCCTCAATAACCAACAATTGTGATTCTTATTTATCGAAGAAATGGGGGCGATTTTACGAACGTTTAATTGCGCATCGATAATACGATCGAATCTGATTAATAACCCCGAATCTGCCAAATATTCTTACGCCCTTACGTTGATAAATCATCGTAATTGAATTTCTCATTCAAGAAATATTTATCACATAGTTTCATGATTCATTTTTTGTCCTTATCAGTACACGATAAACCATCTTGTTTGTAATGGTATTACGACGCCCTTTTTTTTTTAATTTACACGATATCGCGATATTAAGCTCGTAATATTTTTATAGTAGAGAATTAACTTTTAGAAAATTTAATAGAAAGACTGTATATAATAAAAATATGAAATATTTTTCTCTGATCGATTTTTGTATATGGATACATCTGTGCATGATACATATTGTGCAAACGCACAATAATCTTCACGAATCACGATTTGTTGTTACACAATTAAATTATCACAATTAGATATATAATAATAAATAAATTAATCATGATTATATATCTGAAATTTGATCGAGAGGTAGATAAAAATGTTCTTGGGAAAAGTTGAGTGGCATGAAAAGATCATAATAGTGCAACGATGCACTATTAATAATACGAATGGACATTTAAGAGTAAACTCAAGAATTACTTTTGCAAATTATATTGAGAATGAAAGATATTTTCTAATGTTTATTTTGCACTCTCATACTTATGAAAAAAAATGAAATTTTTAAAAAAATAACATCTTCTTTTACCTCTTAAATTCAAAATATCAATAATAAAAATATTTGATTGAACTGAATTCAATCTTTTTTGAATATTTCGATTCAATTTTTGAAACTGATTGACAATTGTCCTTTCAGATTATTAATCTAATAATCCTGATGCTGTATCGAACGGGATACAAAGGAGAATTCCTGGGTGTCGGAGGGACATGGAACTTAAACGAAGACAAAAATCCAGACGCAGAAATCGTTGCATCCGGAGTTTTGGTCGGATTTTTCATATACACCAGCGTTGTCTTAATCACTTACTGCTTTGGGAGCACGTATCACAAGAAGACACTTGTCGTAAGATCAATTTTGAATAATTTTAAGAATGAAAAAATCTGTTACATCGGATTTACGTAAATATAAATATTTTTATCGTGCAAAAATTAATTTCTATCGTTGCGTAAAAAATTATTCGAATGTTAATTTCTTTAACAGGAAATTATAATGAATTTCGTTGGAACCTTTATGTTCATCGCTGTGGGGGGTACAGCGCTTCACTATTGGCATGGTTATCAATCGGAAAATAAATACGATTCGATTATTCAAGAACGACAGGTAATTTATGTTTTTTAATCGAATTTTTATTTATTAAAATTTTGTTTTCGATAATTATATAGGGATGCATATGAGATTCACGTAATTTGTCCACTAAATAAATTTCAAAACTTTGCATCTTGTCTTATTTGTCTTGTCTAATAAATAAATATTTTCGCTTTGATATCTCGTTTTAGAAATTATTGGACAAATTATATAACTCATATTGTATTCTATTATAAAAATATGATTATGTTTAATATTTTGTATTAATATTTTGTATATTTATTAATTTAAATTTCTTAAAACAATTTTTTTTAGATCGGCTTAGCTGTTGGAGCATTGTGCGTTATCGAGGGTGCAGCGTATCTCGTCGACTTAATACTGAGTTTTCTCCATTTTGCGAAAAATACCGATAATTTTTTAGAATAAAGTCAAAAAATTTCATATAAAAAGAAGCAGTATAGAACCAGTATTTTTTAAATCGGTATCATCATCGATAATAATCCTTTCATTACGAATAAAAATTCAATATACATACATAATTCATATTGAAACAATTTTCATATTTCAGAAAATCGATAATTAATCATATATGTATTAAAAAAATCAATAGAAAATTAATAGAAAATTAAGAATTCTACCAATATTTAATTAGTATAGAAAAATATAAAACTTGTACGTCAATAAATATTTTTAAAATTTTTAATTCTCTATTAAAACAATTTTATATAATTTTGATAAATTAATTTTATTTATGCAATATATATAATGCATATGGAATAGTATTTAATTTTTTGTATTATTATAATTGTTGTACGTATACAATAATACATTTCTTTCGACAAATTTTTCGAATCGATCATTTTTTTTTTTTTTTTAATTATCGTACAACGCAAGAATATATTCCTTGCTATAAAAAGAAAATTATTCTTAAAATTCTCTTTCATGTTTTTATCATTGAAGATAGTTCACGTCAGAAGATAGTTAGAATAGTATAGCAACAGAGTGAACAGAGTTATTCTCGAAATTTCATTTAAACGAATATTTCGATGAAAAGATCGATTTTATCTCATCCAACATCAAATTTTTAATCGATTCAAAGTTAGTTTGATGTGACAAACATGAATATACTGGATTATTTACGTCACTTACTTAAGGATTTCAGTTATCTGCTGAAAATACACAAGCTGGTAAAATAATAATCTTCCATTCAAGTAATCACTCATTAATTTTCAAAATCCATTGATCCAAAAATTAATATCTACCCATATTTTAGATCATAGCTGGGGTATGCATATACGAATTGTTGAAGCACAAAGAATATATGATACCAAGATGGCTGTGGGTCATTTATTGCATCGACTCTTGCACATATTCTATCGTCTATATTTCCATAGGGTTCACTCAAATGTTCGAGAAGTCTCGTAAATTGCCAGTTAGTTTTAATTTATTGAATTAATTTTATTTGGATTAAAATAAATCGTATAAAATTTAAGAAATAAAATCATTTCAGGTTATACGAGTGATACTTTGAAGTAATTACACTGAAATCAAGCGTGTGTACATATTTAATTTTCAAACTTATACTTTACACACGAATCAAATTCTATGGTTTTTTTAATTTTTATATAATTCTTAAAATTATTTTCTCAAATTTGACTCAAAGGAACACAGATATTTGAAGTATCATTTGAGCAAATGTATAACAAATATTCTCGTTTATAGGAATTGATATATTTCACTATTGGAGTTGTTTTCCACTTAATAGGTGGAATAAGTGGTATTATGAGGGCAAGTTATATAGAAGATATAGATGAAGTTGACCCAACGAGAAGCGAATTCAAAATTGGCATATTATTATTAGGTAATTCTGTCTCTTACATTTTGTTCGAAATTATTTTTATCGATGTTTTAAACCTTTTATCTTTTTTTTTTTTCAGCTAATTTTGTTGTACTATTTTGCGAAGCTGCTTATTTAGGTTATGCGGAATTTTCAAAAAAGAAAGAATCTACAGCGTCTAATTAGAAATATATATATATATATAAAAAAATAAACATTCAAACATAATTAATATTTTATGCTTTTATATTAATTATTTTAAAATTAATATTTGAATAAATATTTTATTTTATACTTTCACATTCTGAAGTTTGTTTCAATTAAGAAATATAATTTCAAAGTATTTATATTCTGTATTTTATGGAGTGGAAATATAAAAAATTCAGTCATCCAACAAATAATAATATAATAGCGATCGATGATACTTTATTTTTATACTATTTTTCTTCAAATTAATTTATTTAATTTTAATTAAATTATTATTTAATTTAATTAAAATTATAATTCACGTTTCATGTTGATTTTTAAAATGTTATAATATATATAAATAATAAGATTAAAATACAAAATTATCAGTAAGTTATATTGGTATACAATAATGGATTAAATGCTAAAAATTAAAAATTAAATTTTCATACACGAAGCATACATTTTCTAGTGATGCATTTCAATGTGACGATTCAATCGATACAAGAAAGATCGATTCTTGAAACGTTCAAGCTTCCGGTGTATTCAATCAAAGAGGAGGAAACAAAACGTTATTGAAAACTTTTCATCGTATCTGTCGATCGAAGAGTTTTATAAATATCGAATTTTCAATAAAAGGATATTTCTGAGAAATATGGGTAACATAACATCACCGATTCGCAATATATTAAACGCGTGGACCGTCGATAAGAAATTACTGTTATGGAGAATATTATCCGTAGTACGATTTTAATACTTATTTAGTATTGTGATATATCGATTACAGAAATTGGTTCTAACATTATCAGTATCTATTTTAAACAGAACGAATAATTATATATATATATATTTTTTTAAGTCGAATTTATAACATTGCCTTATACCACAAAAACTTCAATCCTCCTCGAATCATATTTAGATGATTGAAAGGATTAATTAAGAAGAGTTTTTTAATCTTTGATAATCTAGAGAATTGGAAAGATTTAAATGAATACGTAAAAAATAAAATACTAAATATTGGATGATACGGAAATAAAAATTTCAAAACAGATATTTTTATCCAAGTTGTGAAAAAATTTTCGTTACGAATTTCATTTGATTTTTCCGAAGTGAAGTTGTAAAAATTATATGCCGAGGGAGCACAAAGAAATAAACCACGGATAGTTATGAAAGTATACAATTGAAATCTTTATGACTCGCATATGACTCAACGATGAGTTGTGAATTAAGTACAAGTTTCATAATTCATTTAACGTTTCGTTCATAAATCTCGATTGATACCGAGTGAAAAAAATATTTGCAACGATTTGAATTAAGTTATTTGATTCAAGAATATCATATTCAATTTTATATAATTGCACGAAATAACACTTTTAATAATACACATATCGTGTTGCATATCTTTAAATAACAAACACGTGTAAAAATTTTCAAAATTTTGATAAAGAGTTAACAGTTAATTCTTTATCCAATCCATCTCTACTAATAATCGATCATGGATCATAAAAACGATCGAAATTTAAATAAATTCGTAATCGTACGTAAATCCATTATTATATCAGGTTTTTTTTATAAATCTTTTACAGTTCTGTTGCATAGCGGGTACCGCGATATACATGCGTCCATTGGAACCGTATCTCGACGCTCCGATATTTGGTATTTTGGTACCGACTTTTATAACGGGCTACATCATCATCCACTCGATCGAAATTTTCACCTTGATCATGAATAAGGAGTATGTCTTTCTCGTGAGTAAGTGGAAAGTGAAATGTAAAAAAAAACGGATCGAGTAAAAAGTTTCTCTATAAGAAAAAAAAAAAAAAAAAAAAAAATGCACGATTATAAACAGGAAATATGTTTCGTTGTAATTGGAGGGATGGGATGTATAATATGTGGCACGTATCAGCTTCTCAAGTGGGTCAACTGGATAATTGGTGTTCTTCATGAGGAGCATAATGAAGATTACAAGTGCGTATAACCAAAATTTTTTTCACATTCTATAATATAATAATAATAATATAAAATTTAATCCAACAAGAATGAAGCAATTCGTACGAGGAATAGAGGATAAACAAAAATTGTCCACCTGATCTTATATTTCCAGCATATCGGAATTCATATTGGCCCTGATCTTCTTGTTCCAATTCGCCAGCTCCTGCGCTATATTGGTTCATCGTGCTGTAGAAATGCGCGAATACATGGATCGAACGTTTTCATAATGCTTGGAAACAAGGGGGAGGATGGGAGAGGAGGAGGAGAAGGAAGAAGAGGAAGAATATATATTCTTTGAAAATACATATCGACGAAATTTTGTTTCGAATCGCTTAAAAAAAAAAAAAAAAAAAAAAAGAAAGAAAGAAAAGAAAAGAAAAAAAAATGATTTGTAAATATATTTTTATTTCGAGAAATATTGGGATATTTGTGAGGATGTTAGAGAAGAATATAAGAGCGAGAACGAGACGTGATGATGAAACTCAAATCAAATTCTCTGAGGATGAAAACGCGAATTCAAGAATTCGTGAAATTATGGGAATCGGGAGAGAGGGCGAGAAGGCGAGTGAGTCAATGGACAAGGCGAACACATCGAAGTAAGAAAGGATTGGAAATGATGGTCATCATCAATTAATCTACTTGACCCCGTAATTATCGTGGATGAGCGGTACAGCCATCGGTACACCCACGATCCGGATACATAATCGCGTTAATTAGGAATGCTGCTTGTAATTCAACTTCACAGGGCGCGACTCGACGTTAATAAAAATAAATTGAAAACGGGGGGAGAGAGAGAGAGAGAGAGAGAGAGAGAGAGAGAGAGAGAAAGGGAACGATGACACGGAAAAGAAAATAAGAAATCGATGTAATAAGCATATTAATTTTCTATACAATAATAAAAATTATCGTTTTTTGAGAATTATATATATTTTATTCTCGAAATTCGGGAATTTATTTATTTATTTATTTTTTTAGAAGAATATTATGGTAAATTTAGAAATTTTTATTTCCTCTGTGAATAAAGATTTAATTCGTCCTTTTATTTTTAGCTCTGGAGAATTTTACACAAGTTGATTCTGTTAACTCTTGGATTGTGACATAGATTTGTTTCCATTCGTGGAATTGGAATTTTTTTTTTTTTTTTTTTATTGCTTCAAAGCGTAATTTTTTAAAGTGGAAAAGTTATAATAATTCAAGATCGATAGAAGGATTGCATAATCGAATCCAATGAAGACCAGGCCGCACCTACTGACCTAGTGAACACGTAATTTTTTAGTACGCACAATTGTGCATGTATGTACTTGTCAATGTAAATGAAAATATTTGCGCATACATAAGTGATTGTGTTCAGATGCGTTACGTCGCATACGTATAGTGCAGTATAGTTTTTCTGTAATAGGAGTAGCTAAAACAGTATTGCGCAATTAGAAAATAATCTGTTGTCAGTGTAAGTTAAGTTTAGTTCGAATCGTTCACGATAATGCGATATATTTTTGAGTTTATTAATTTTTTAAGTTGAATGCAAAATTTTTATTTTTCGCATATTTATTTTAATATATGTTTTTCGTTCGTTAAATCGTAATTCGTCTTACAAATTCATCCTCGATATTCGATGTAACGAAATTTCATTTCTGTTATTGACTTGACTGATTCATTTCATATTTAAAAAAAGTTGGCAATTTATCCCTATCTCGTTTCAATATTCACACAAACCCGTTTACTATGTCACGGTCGTGATCTTATAACTTTCTATAAGTAGTTTTTAGTCGGCAGTTAAACATGGAACGTACTAATTTATAATTTCCTTTACACAGAAATCAAATTATTCTTCTTCTTCTATTCTACGTACGTTCCAATTAAATTACTATGTAAGGGAAGAAGAACTTTCAAAGTATGTTACAAAAACACTTGGAAATTCACAAATGGAAAATTTCTTTTACCTATATTTTCTACTATTTACAGTAGAACAATTTCAAAATCAATGGAATCCATCTCTCCATTCGATTACTACAATATCCAATTATTCTCTATCAAAAATTAATTCTCAATCTCTCTAAACGGAACTAAATCATTTTTAATAATCGATACCAGCTCTAATTTATTCAAGAAAAGTATATTTGTTGTATCGACATGTAATACGATACATACGTATGAAATGGAGAAAAAAGGAGTCGTAGAGAAATTATTTCGCAATATTGCTCAACGTAAGTAATACGATTCGAGCCACGAATCGATTTAAAGATCGATTTTTCAGGGGGGAGAGCGTTCCTTTTCGCCGATCCTTTTATTCCAACCATTTCTCGACCCGCCCTCGATCGTGTATTTTTCGTTCATGCGTGTTTAATCGGTCTGCCCGCAAGGTTTTTGCACGTGTACACATCCGCAATACACACAAGTCCAAGCAAAATTATACACCGTGAGTCATATGATGTGCAGCATGCAACGATGCATACCTTCCAACAACACGTGCTCGTGAATTAAATCTCGCAGTTACCTTGCCCTTCGTCACAGACTCCGATTACTGAAGACCATTTTTTTCCCCCTCCCCTTTTCCCTTTTTTCGCAACTCTGAGCTTCAAGACGTTATTCCGTGTTGGATTCTTTTTAAATGATCGAGAAGAAAAAGAGAGAGAGAGAAACGAGTATGCGGATATATCGTCGAAAGAAGAATAAATTTTATTTTGTCAATATTTTGTAAATGATATCAGAATTTTGATCGAAGAGCCTTAATTTATCGACTTATATATTCCGTGTTGGATTCTTTTAAATGAGAAGAAAAAGAAAGGGAGAAACGAGTATGCGGATATATATCGTCGAAAGAAGGATAAATTTTATTTTGTCAATATTTTGTAAATGATATCAGAATTTTGATCGAAGAGCCTTAATAAATCGATATCGTAATTTCGAAGACTTAATTTTGAATAACATCGAACAGAACTTTTCATCTATTACGCAATTACACAATTAAACAATTACACATTATTTTCGCAACACTCGTTTCATTTAAGTGTTCAAACACTTACAATTGCGTCGATCATCTGTATCTAATTATCAGTATCTCGATTCGTGCTCGAAATTATTTTACAAAAATTTACCGACTTCGTTCTCTGCGCCCCCCGGAATAAAAGGAATTTCGTAATTCACAAAGAGGCAACTCTCCTCGACCAATTTAACCCAGAAAAAGAAGCCTCGCCCACCATCCAATTATTCTCTCCTCCTCGACATGATGTTCCACCGTAAAACCACAACAACAAACTAACGCATTGTATCCTCGATCAGACTCGATAAATTCTCTTTCCTCGAAGTAGGGAGAGCGAGAAATCCGTCGTTACGCAAGAAACGCGCAGTTTTCCTCGGGAAATTGAAAGAAAAAAACTTTCCTTTGTCGGAAGAGAAGAAAGGGAAGCGAAAGGGGAGAGAGAAGGAGAGAGAAGGAGGGAATAGCGAACGATCCGCGTCGATTAAACGTGTTTTTAGGGAGTAAAGTGGATAGTTTTTCGCTAAATTGCACACCAGTGACACGATAGGCAGACACACGGTGAACCTGGTCGTAACAAAGTCGGCAAACCGCCTGCGCAACTCGTAACTACGTACGGCGACGTAGACCCGCGTTGTTGTGTCACGGTTGGCGTTCCAGTTTAACTTCGTCCGCCACACGGTGTGCAACTCCGTGTTCCTCCTCCACATTTGGACGACCATCCGCATTTGTCACTTGTGCCAATTGCGAGGTATCGATCGAGATATCGTAAGTGAAGAAGATTTTCTCTTTCTATCTCTTTCCCGTTCGTGTAACTCGGTTTGACGAGGTTTGACGAGGTTTGAGACGGATTAAAGTAAAATTATCGACGAGGAATCGACTTGGAAAGGAGGAAAGTTGAAGGTTGACAAGTGTTTGCATGTGCGGATTGGAAGAGATTTTTTTGAATGATCCACGTGGATGGTGAGGAATCAATTTGTTGAGGAAGGTAAGTTGTTTAATAGATGGATTAATAATAGAAGGATGTTTTTATTTAAATATTGATTTTCGACGAAATTAAAATTAAATTCGTTGGGTCCTCGAGTTATTGCGAGTTGAAGTTATATTATTTATTAAATTATTCTTTTTGTTTTAAAACTTTGTTTGAAAAAAATTCTAGGAAAAAGAAATGCAATTCTTGCAGTTCGTAGAGTATACTTTGCCATTGAATCACGTTTACTATGATTGCGCAATATTTATGATTCAGAAATTTCAAGAATGTTAATTGCATAGGGGAACATCAACTGCATAAACGATGCATTTGTGCATGTATCGCTCAGTGAACGTTTACAAAATACATAATTTTCAGAGATTTGTAAAATATTAAAGATCCGTGTTAAATCTTGTTATTTAAATATCGCATGCAACAATTATCTATACGTAAAATCACTTTCCGTGTCCACGAGGCTTTAATTTTATGCACACAGCATTAATTCAGATGTTAATCGTGTTATTTATCGCTGCTAAGGTTCAATGCGCTTGATGAGACGAGATTAAGATCAAAAGGTGGGAAAAATTGATCGTGGACAAAGATCTGAAATCTTTCAAACTGGGTGACGGAAGAGGAAAACATCGTAGAGTCAGAATGGCAGACGAGAGTCAGCAGGAGAGTCAACCTGCGCGTAAGGAGCGGAAAATTATGAATTACTTGCCATTTTCGCTAAAAATTTTGGAAATCGTGAGTAATGATTGATTAATTAATTAAAAAACAAAAATAATAAAAAGAAATTAAAAATTAAATGCGAAAGAATTATGCAAATGCGACAATGAAATTTATTGTATTGCTTTTCCTTAAAAAGAAATTGGAAACTGAGTGTTCTGTTAAATTGATAATGAATTGATCAAGCTAAGAAATAAGAATTTCGAAAAGTAATATTTTTTTGAAAATTTATCAAATAAATTTAATAAGAGATATTTGCTTTGATTTTAATTAATTTTGATTATAATCTTTGATTTAAATTTGCAAATTTTCTTTGTTCGACAGATACTAGCTGTGTTCTCGATTGGATTAATCGTGGATCCATTGAATTCGTTTCAAAAACTTTCGCTCAGATTACAATTCAAGCTTGACGATGCTGCGATAATTTACATCACTATCGCTGGTTACATCATAATCAACACGCTCTTCATCATTTGCCAAATATTGGGCGATCGAATACCGAAAAGAACGGTAAGTTAATTAATGAGTTTTTAAATTAATGAGAATAATTCAGAAAATATAAAAAATGTTATAAATTAATAGCAAAACTTGCATCTATAATTTTTTCTCAAATTTAAAAAATTTTAAAAAATATGAAAGATAAAAATTATTGCAGAAAACAGTTTGCATATGTTTTGTCGTGCAATTTTTTATTTCTATGATTAGAAAAAAAATTACGTGACGATGGATAAAGCGTCACAATCAAGGGATCGCGTGACAAAAGGACGAATAATATAGATTCACTTCCTACATTCAGTATTTTAGACGTAAATTTACTAGCAAGGTCGAAGTTTCCGGCATTCTCTCGAGGAAGAGAACTATTTGCACGAATAGCAATAAATCGTTAATAGATTAAAGATATTTATTGTTGAATGAAAATTTATTTTATTAATTTATACTTTGGATATTTTATATTTTCTGATTCTGCAATTTTACATAAATTATTTATCCAATAATTGAGTGTCTTTCGTGACTATAGTGTACTTTTCATTTCGAAATGTGTGCGGAATTATTTATCACATCGTAACGCGTAAAAAAGAAATTTCTATTTTAGCAAATTGAAACAATCTTTAAATTGAACAAAGATTTTCTTTTAAATTTATTTGTAGTAATAAAATTCTCCGATTTTCTAATAATTTCTATTTTAAAAAAGTATCTCTCTCTAATAATTAAATCCATAATTAATGCCAATTCCTAAGTTTCTAGGAATAAAATATTCATCAAGGATTTTTAGTACGAGCTCGTTAAACATTCAAGGTATAAAATGAAGGCTTATTTCTCATGGCTCGTAAATGACATTGAGCCAGCAAGTTAAATAACTGTATCGATTTACATTTCATATTATTTATGAATATTATAATTTTACGGGTCATTAGGAACCGATTAAAGGCTCCTCTCCCCATCACAGTTAATTCCATTTTAATGACTCTGCCATTTAGAAGTTCTATTGTATATCTTTCTCATTCCGTTTCGAATTATTGCCATATTAAATTATCGAAATTTTATTAAATAATCTTTATACAATTTAAAAATCGCCATCGTATCGCCACTGTAATCTGCCTCGAGTTAATCGTTCCAAATCTACGCGCTTGTGTTCCGTTCTTGTTCGATTAAAATTCATAACTTATCAACTTCTTATACAGTTTATCGACCACCTACTTTTCGACATTTATGTTCGACAAACGATCGGTGCTCGTAGTATCTGGGACTGGTTGTTTCGAGACACGCGATAATTATTGTCGTTCGTATCACACAGGCGTGATAACGCGAAGAATAATTGCCGTGTTTGAAAGTGAACGACACCGTGGCCTCCTTTTCCATGGTGCAAGGAACTTTTATTTACAAAGAAATTTTTTTTTTTTTTTTTTAAAGTAACACAGAGACTTAGATCGCATTTAGAAAAAAGATTTTCAAATGAATCCGTCCTATAGATTTAAAATCGATGTACTTTTGATGTAATTTTCACTTGAAAATCGTGAAATCATTCATAAAATATAATATTCGTATATTTCTATAATCAATTGTAATAACAGACACAATAATTAGTATAATTTTAACTTAATATATATTAAAGTTTTAAATATTACTATTAATAATCAAAATTTGCCTTTTGTATATTTCTATTTCTATTTCTCGATGATTTTCTTTGAAAAATATAAGTAAAAGTGAATCAGTTGATCACGTGATCATCGATCTGCTCTGATTCCAGTTAGTAATATTTTCCTCGGTTGGGGCGCTCCTCCACATCGTCGCTGGGAGCGTAATTGTTTATAATTGGAGGAAGATTATCGGCCCTTATTACAACAACAATGAATTCTATCCGAGCAAGCAGTACATGGACATGTTCATATCTGGGGCCGTGTTCACATTTGCAAACGCTGTTGTTTTTATTCTAGAAGTTTTCTTCATCATCAAGTTCTCGTCGAAAGGCACAGAGTGAAAATTTTGAAATGACGTGGAAGAGGAAAATATTTTTGCAAAGATTATATACTTAATGAATAAGTTATTAATAATTCAGAAAGATATGAATATTTAATATTATGTAAAATTTTTCGAGAAGGAAGAGATCGAAGAATTATTGTTGTAAGGAATAATGATTAATTTTTGACGACGTTTAATGATTTTAAACGTTTAAAACATCTTTTTAGAATATATATATATATATATACATATATATAGAAGTGTGAATGGTAAGTGTGTAAAATATATCATAGTTGATAGGAGAAATTTTATTTTATCGCAATGATTAATAATAATAAGTACTTTCGGAGAATGGTAGTTGCAAGAAATTATGGAATAAGGAAGAGAATCGAAGAAAGATGATTTTCCACCAAATGTGTTCTACATGATACATTGAAAAATAATATGAAGAAAAAAAAAAAAAATGATATACACGGAAATACAGTCTAAAAATAATTCACAAGCCAAATAATATTTAAAGATTAATTGTAAGTCCTGATTCCGTCCAATTTTTAAAATAAGCATATAGGTTAAGTAATACTTGATTAGATATAAGTTAAACATAGAAATTTATAGAAAATGTACAAATAAAGTAACAAATGAATTGTACTTTGTAGAAAATTAGATTTTATGAAACATAGCTTTAAATGATTAGGATATCATAATATTTTGGATCGATAATTTCATAGAATTTTTCATAGTTGGTATACTTTGATCATCAATTTTTTAGAAATATAGTAAATTTAGTAATAGAGAAAACTAATATCCAAAGATTTTCTACGTATACGAAATATTATTATATATTTTTTAAGGAAGCTAATAAAGATTCCACCGAAAAAAAAATAAAAAAAATACGTATAAAAATATTAAATATTACTTATATTCTTACTTAATCCAAAGTTTGTATGATTAGTGTAGAATTATGTATAATAATATTATATACATTTCTTATTCTCATTATACATTTTATATATTCAACAAACCTCAGAATTGCCATGAATATTCTTAGATAATTAGTATATATAGAGTATATATAGAGAGTTATAGTTTTTATACTTGATAATTATAATTAAAAATAAGATCAGAAAATTAAAATTTGCCTTTATAAATATTTATCGATTTATAGATCTATTTGTATAGATTTAACAAAAATGAACGTCTCTTTATCAAAATATATTCCGTCCAATTATTTACAATAATGAAAGATGTCCAATGCAATCTTTCCTATTAATATTTCGAAATTTTTGTAATATAATTTTGTAAGTGAAATGTAAAGATATATCAATAAAGAGTGTTAAAATATATATGTAATTCATACTGTATAATATATATACGAAACAATGGAAGAAATATTTTATCGATTAATTTTATTAATCATGTATCATCGTATAATTTGTGAAAATTTTTTGCAAAAAAAAAAATATTTCAATCAAATTCCTTTTTTTTTTTTTCTTCTTTCATCTTTACAACTTATCAATCGATCAAGGAACCAACTTAATACAATCTGAACATAACTCTTTTTCCGTATAACACGATCTCAGAAGAAAATTGCAAATCTATCGATACATCGTGATGCATCGATATAACAATAAACAAATAAATTGAAATACACGTGAAATATGTAGTGAAGGAATAAAAAATAAAGGTTCATTCGATGACAGAAAGCTGATAAAACTTCATAAAACCAAATGATAATGAACCCGAGAAATCCAAGAAGAGGTAAAATTATCTTTCAATCATTACCCTTCCTCCTAATTTTTATTATTTCCTTTCAAAAATAACGAACATTTTTTTTTTTTATAGAAGTTTATAAAATATCTCAAAGGAATAAAAAGAGTCAAGAAATCAGCAAATGTGTACAATTAGTAATAAAACCACTCAGAATTATTCAATTTGTGAGTATCAGTTGAAAAGAAAAAATAAATAAAATAAAAATTAACTCGATGCATAACACAATACGTTATCTCAATATAATTAAAAATTAAACGAAATAAATGTGTGTGTTGATTAGCTAGCGGTACTGCTGATGTTTTCATTTGTCGTTTATGCGACAATGTTATTTGAGACCGATTTTCCATCCTTAATATATATTTTACTCCTCGTCCTGTCTGGAGCCTATCTTATCGCGTTATCGATTGATCTAATTAGCCAATTCGGAGGAGGAGAATTGGGCGGGATACCGGTAAACATTTGTGCGAACAAATTTTCTCATAAGTTGAAAAATCAATTTAAATTTCACATCTTTATGTGAAAATATCACTATATATATATGCGGATATTTATGAAAATTCATATTTTCTCGTTACGTTATGATAAAGAATGCATGTATATATGTATAAAGAGATCGTGCAAAAGATTTTTAATTGATAATAGTAATCGATTTTTAATATCTCTTTTTCAATATCGGTCAGGATTAAATATTGAATTAAAAATAGGAAAGAATCATTTCAAGATACTTGTGCATTTCTTCTCCGTTTCATAAATATTCGCAGATAAAAAAAATACATATGCAACGCGACAAAGTACAAAATTTTCGAAGAACGAATATCTTTATTGCAGATGTTTCTGTTCACGTTACTGGGCACGATATTATTTGCCATAACTGGAATTCTCTTGTTACTTTTTAAGCTTACTCCGTGGTACATATTAACGATAGCGTGTCTTTCGCTTTTCATGTTCATTCTCTTTGTGATCCAATTAGCACTGATACTGATGTAAGTTTTTCATGTTTGATATTGAAATTAAAAAAAGTTTCCAACGCGATATCTTCCTTTGCTTCTTCCTTCCAGATTTTGGAAACGTAGCTGTAATATCTGCCACCAATGTTACACGAAGAAACCATATCTGAAAGAAATGTGCTCCCCCCTATGCGAAGTAAGTGTGAACGAGAACAATTTTCAAAGAATTTTATTTTTATCAGAATTTGTTTAAACTTTAAAAATACTTATCACCTTTCATCATGAGAAATCAGACTTTTACGTGACAAAATGTATTAATATTCATGTACAACGTATATTGTTCGTAATATGGTGTAAGTATGTAAATATAAATACATTTTATAATTAAAAAATGTAACACTTCACTCGATAAAGAAAGAAAGATAATAACAATAATGTAATAGCATCTAATATAAATAATCATTCATCGATCAATTTTTACAATTATATTCTATTATTTATAATGTAACTAGTTCGAAGTAATCTATGTTCCTGGAGTGTCGCGTTTCTTTTAAGGTGTATCTCTACAATCTAGACGGTCAAACATGACCTAATGACCAGCGTGAGCCAGATCAAATTATACGACGACGGCGAAGAGGTTGATCACAGTTTCAGAAAAATTGCACAGGGATACCGGCGACAATACATCGATTGTTCAACGAGCGCTCAGAAATTATGCCACGTGGATGTTGCCGACATTCAAACGGATCATTATCCGATAGCGACAGCAGAGAATCAGGTAAAAATGGAAATGAGCAATATCTATATTTATATCAAAGCGTTACCAAGTCGTTGCAGACTAATTGTTCGAACTAATTTCTTTAAATTTTCTCCAGTTGCCAAGAAATGGAACCTTTTTTTTTTGATTTGATTACAGATAAGAAGAGACACTTGTTCGTCCCATATTTTATCTTATTGAAAATTGAAATGTAACATTTATATTTTTATATAAAAGTGGATTACACTTTAAAATTTATCTTTGAAATTTTATTAATATTCTTTGTAATATTCAAAATCTAGATACTGGATATTGGGTAATTTTGTTCAAATATTATTTAAGATAGATTGAAATTAAAATTGAGATTCTGAATGTTGAACAGTGAGAAAATAATGGAAATATATAAAATTAAATAACTGAATTTTGATTTTACACAATTAAAAAGACATTAATTCCTGTTCTCACATTTTAAAAAAAACATTTCCTCTTAATATCCAGAAAATAGAAAAAAAAAAAGGCAACAAAACTTACGTAGAAATGTAAATATTCCTTCATCGATCTACTTTATTTTACTAATTCGATAAATTGTGTGATCAGACTCTTCAAGAAATGAAAGAGATAAACGTGCAAACATTGAGCAAGTGTGAGCTATGCCATCAACAGATACAATTTTCCGCAAGTTCCTCAGCTTTGATCAAGAATCAATTTCAATGCGCAACTTGTCCCGCGTTTATACAGCTTTTTAAAGGAATGTCTTGTTCAAAGTTAGTTAAGTTAATTGTTTCATTTCTTTTTTTTATCACACATTTTTCGCGTATTTAAATTTTTCTTAAGATTATTTCGCAAAATCCGAAAATTGACGACTTCTCATTGTTGAATGTTAAAATTATTTCTTCTCTCTATGAAATAAATATTTTATTCGCAATCGGTTGTAGATGTGCTACAGGTATGATGCAGATGTCACGACAGAACCGGCAACAGCAGACACAGCAAGCGAAATTGGACAAGGAAATGATGAAGGGAAGGAATCCACAATTTATGAAGAGAAAGATTTCCGGCGAAATGTTGACGAGTGAGAAAGCTCGTAAACTCGATCAGGTTGCGAATTTAGGGGTTCAGTTTTAATTCGAGAGAGTGATTTCCTCTTACAATATCAATTAATATCATTGTAATATATATTTTTATCTTTCGATGTTAATAAAATATTTAAAGAGATGTGGCAAATATACTAATAAAACTTGTAGACAAAAGTGATTATTTCTTCGATATAAAAAAAAAAAAAATGAACGAATGAAGGAGACATCAATTGACGTATCAATGCATAAAAAAAATCGAGCACATCGAGATTATTTATCGAATTAAGAATATGCATATTGTATTGTACGATAGAATTTTTGTTATTAAAAAAAAAAAAAAAAAAAAACAGAAAAAGAAATGGATGAGTTCTCAGAGACTTTAATTCCAAATATTCCTTTTTTCGAAGGTGGCCAGCAACAAGATTCGAAAGTAGGGGGTTGCTCATCAATGATCACCAAACTCACTGTCGCTTCATATTGTGTCCCGCCGGAAAAAACTCACATATCGAGTCAAACTGCATCGAAAACGTAAGGTTTCTTTTTTTTTAATATAACGATAAATTTATCACAAAGCGAAAAAATTCTATGGAAAAAGAAATTTGAAAAATAAAAATTATCCGCGATGAATTTTTTTGTTTCATATTGTTTTTCTTTTTTTAATTCACTGATATAAAATCAAAATCATTTAATTTATACATTATCTTTTTGACTAAACTCTTGATATTGGTAGTAAGAAAAAATTCAAAATCAACTAAGAAATTAATTATTCCTTTTTAGTGAAAAATTTTTTTTTGAAAATTTCCAATAGCAAACAACAGAGTTTCAATTTTTCGTAACTTATAAATATTAATAATTACCGTGCATCTTTCACGATAAAATGTAAAATATCATGTTAAAATCATTTCAAATTTTACAGATCAAAAGTTATATATTATATTATAAAAATCAAAATCAATTATTATCGAAAGATAAAATAGAAAGATGTATCAACAAATTTTGCAAATCAAATAATTTTCGAATGAATTCATGTCTCACACCCCTTGCGAATTATCATTCGTGTAATCGAATAGAAAGAACAACGAAGAGAGATCGAAGAAGCTGATCACGTTGAACAGAAACAACAAGAAGAGAATAAAAATAAAAGGAGCGAGGACTTCCCCGTCGAGCAAGACCTCCCAACAAAGCTCTCGTTCTCAGATAATCGAAAATGGAAATAAGGTGATAGAGATAGGATCCGGAAATTCGATATCTATCGTAGTGACACCGGGCAACGATTCGAGATCAGTGGAGACCATGCATAGGATAGTGAACATAGGATGTAAGAACAATTCCCATCCATCCTCCCACCCCAATCAAATGGAGATTGTGGAACGGTTGCACGAGATGGAAGATGGGAATAAGAGGGGAACGTTGCAATTTACCGCCGGGACGACGCCGAATAAAAGAGCACCGATCGAGAAACAAATACAGATCACGAGCCAGTGTCAAGGTACGTGCGACGCGATGCATTTGGAACTGGCCACGATTAATTCAGAAACGGGAACGGCAAAGAATCCGAGAAACCAGGGGAAGAATCCTGCAATGAGACAGTCGCGGATCAGAAAAGAAAAACTAGAGAAATTGCAGCAAACTGAATTGATAAATAGACGTGAGAACGAAGCGCAGACCGTGTAAGAGATGTTTCTTTTTTTTTTTTTTTTTTTAAGCTTCCTTTCCTTTCCTTTCGTTTCGACACATTCAACGCGTCAGGTGGCGTGTTGCGAATTTTTTCTCGCGTTCAATATGCAATATTGGTCGTATTTTTTCGTGAAATTAGAAAAATCGAAATTGTTGATATTCGTCACCTGGGGTTTTTTTTTGAATGTGTTGGATTATCGATTTAACTTGTAACTCGATCGCATCGTGATGAAATATTTCCAATTTTAATATATATCAAGGATGCAATGAATCTTTTTCTTTCGAATCTTTTTTTTTTTTTTTTTTAGAGATGATTTCGAAACATTACCGAGAGGTAAAAGAACTTACGCGAAAGCTCTCCGAAAAAACAAAGTTAAACCCGCAGATGCATCGTAAGAGAATGATTTTATTAATTCACTTTTGAAAATAGATATAATCTTTGTTTATACAATATTAATAATCTTGTTTCGCGTTTTAATATTTTCAGAGTTAGCGATATAAGTATCACGCTTGTGCCAGCGTCTAATCCCCCCTCGACACCTTCCATCCGTAAAAACAAAGTAATATTATATCCTAAGCGAACGAATGAATCAAAAATATTGTTGTTGAAAAATAATTATTATAATTCAAATAAGGCAAAATAGTTTAACGCGAATCAAACGAAATTGATTTGTACAGAAACTCGGTCTACAGAACAGCGTTTCGTTGCACGAGAAATACATTAATGTTTGCCCAATTTGTAAAAGGCTGCAGGTTAATTCTCACACTTTATGACATTTTACTTCAATTTAAATGTATATATATATATGGATGTATATCATTTTATCATATTATATGATTTCAAAAAATTCAACAGATACCCATGAAGGGGCCCCCCTTTCAGTATTACTCCGTTAATAAGGATAAACGAGGACGATTCTATTGCGACACTTGTGCACCCCCAGCTTCGATTAAGGTTAAAATATTCTAATTCGAATATATATATTACAACAACAAAATTTTGTAATCTTAATTTTACTTTATTCGTATCGTTTTGCGTTACACAATTTTTCAAATATTTTATATTTTTATAGGTATCGTTCAAAAGGACGGATCAACAACGTTTAAAATGTTGTCAGTGCGGGAATTATTTACGTATAAAGAACAGTCAGGTAAGAAAATGAATGAATTTTGTCGCGTATAAATATTTATTTTAATTATTAACGACATATTCCGATTTTCAGACAACTCGAAACAAATCTGATCATTGTCCACATTGTGATTTATCATTATCACGGCATCATATTTCATCGACATAAATTTTTCGATAAACATCGACGAGATATCATTATATCATCACACTTAGATAATTAAGGAAGAACAATCCATGTGTACATATAAACGAGAATTTTATATATAAATGATGATGCGAAAATATAACAAACAGTGTAGTAACAAGTAAGTTGATCTTCGAAAAATCTGTATACTTAATTGTGATTTTCTTTTAATATAATTTTCATTATTCGTAGATCGGCGCAAAATGCTCAATCACACAACAAAAAAATGCATCTTACACAGAACAAATTATTAATCGTGTAAAGTAATTTTTAATATTCCAAAACATTATTTATTTCTTTAAAAAAAAAAAAATAATAATAATAATAATAAGAGATCGTTGATTACACGAAATAATTTTTTTTAACAATGTTATATCGTCACAGATGATTGTAAAATATTATAATGTATCATAAAACAGCAATCCATCTTAAGATTATTTTTAATGCTTATATAATAAATTCTAATTTCGTTCAGAAATCATCATTTTTTTTTTTTTTTTTTTTTTCATAGAACATCATCTCGTGTACAATATTCTTCGCAACGACGATACAAATCATTTTGATCAGAAAAATAAAATACAATAAGTGATAAATTAATTCCCGCGCGGATAATATGCGCGGATATCGTGTATTAATCTCTGTAGAAATACAAAGAATCGGAGCTAGAAAGTTGTTTTAACAATTTTTTCACAGCTTCGAAAAAAAAAAAAAATTACAAGCATCACTACAAGTACGATTAGAAAATAAAATGATATATAAAGATCGATTTGCATTCTTATGATTACAATAATAAGACATAACGATTGCCCTAAGTAGCTACCACCATTAATAACCATGGATTATTAATCTTTGGTATAAAACGAGTTCGTTTCACGTCATTGGCACAAGAAATAAATCTTAAATTGTAATAATTAATCATCAGGAACTTCAGCTTATATAAAATTCGAAATTTTTTTTATATATATACTTAATTTCATATAAATTTAAGATACGAGCTCAAAAATCAATAAGCATAGGTATATATATATAATATACTTAACAAACAAAACAATCACAAGATTCAGAACACTGATTGTAAAAGAAAAAAAAAAAAAAAAAAAAAAAAAAGACAAATTGTCGACACTTTTTTCCAAATACTGATTAATAGCAAAATCGTTCTAATTCGATTATGGAGCACGTGTGATGTTCCATCCACGATATATTCTGAATATTAAAAAAAATTGTTGATCAATTCGTTTATCATAAATTTTGCCTACCGCTTATTCTTTCTTTCTCTCTCTTTCTTAAATCTCTATCTATCGAGATATAAATAAAAACCAACAAACTCGAGTTACTTCCACGAAAAAAATTGTTTTCATCAATTCGACTTATCTATCTTGTTGCGCGTTGCGTAATGGCCACCAACCATAATGGAACCAATCCATAAGATTAAAATACAATTTCTCTAATCGAAATAAACTAAACTCGCTACCCCTATTTTCTATAATCGACGATAATCATAATTAAATCCCATAATAATAAATCACTTAAAGTCTTCGAAAATTTTCTCCAAATTGCGGTTTACTTTCCGCGTATATCGCATTCTTTGGATACAACGAGGAATTAATCGAATTGATCGGATTTTCAAACGAGAATCTTCCTTCGAACTTCGAAACGGGGCTAAAAAACGACTCGTTACTCTGTTGCTGTGAACTCTTAATCGCGTGATGATTGTTCATATATTTACAATCATTCAAAATTCTATTGGATATGTCCGGAATATTTGCGGGTTCGCGGCGATAAATCTCCATCGGCAATAACTCGGGCGAAAACCAATTGAAATTCTGATTGATCGTCATCTGGTTCACGTCTGTCGATGGAAATTGTTGCGAAAAGTGGCCCAAATTCGATTCCTGGCGCAACGAGAATTCTCGCCCACTTTGCAAATTGTATCCCGTGTTTTGATTAGGATATTGGACGAAAGTACCGTTGTTTTGCTCTCCCAAATTATTGATCCCAAAATTCTGATAATAATTAGTATACTGATAACAGTTTGAGAACCGATGATGATTAGATTCGTTGAAAGGCTGCGAATTGGAAAAATTATTCGACATGTGGTGAACATTATTCTCCGCTGGGTTTACGTGCTCGTTCTTATAAATATTTCTTTGATCGTAGCTAACGCAATTTTTATTGTCATTTTCGCTTGCGATCTTCAAAGTTTCGGAGAAATTTGTCACAAGACCGTCTGTCGGATTCCAAACAGATTGTAATTTATTCGTAGGTAATTTTGATACATTGAAACTGTTGTTCGCGTGAAATCGACACTGGCAAGAGCATTCTAACTTACACTTGTTGACCAGATCGCAAGGTGCATTTGTTAGATTTTTAGCAAAATTCTCGATACTGTGCAAAGCCTCGTTAGAATATCTTTGCACGTCGTTCCATTTGAAGTTCTTCAAGCGTTTACCTTTGTTCAAATACGTCAAATACGTGCTGATCGCGGGAAGAATGGCGTTCGATTGATCGTGTTGTACGCAATTCTTCTTAAAGTGTTCGTGTAAAAAAGATTGGTCTAAACTGTCTCTTAAATTTCCATTGATATCGCATGTTTGATTAAAATTTTCTTTCGTTTTTTCCTTGCTCCTCGCGAATTCTATCAATGAACAATTGGAGCAAAGTATGCTTTTCGATTGGCATTTTTCGACCTTGCATTGATTTATCGGGTTGCCGAGATTTTTTACCGGGCTCGAGATTGCAGCTTTTATCGGCCGACCTTTTTGAATCGATGAACCGATTAATTTCTGCGATCGTTGATTGTTTATTATGTTCGATCGTTTGTCGATGGCCTTCTGTTTCGTTCGGGCAACAACTTTTTTCGTTTTAGCTGGTTCAATGAAGGTTTTCGTTATTTGTATGTTGCCTTCCTCGTCACACGTTCCACATTCTTCGAACTGTAGATTTTTAATAATCAATACATTTATTAAACGAGGAATCATAGTTTTGTAATTCGAATTTGACGAGGAGAAACAAATTGTAAAATTTGAAGCTATTATATTTATAGAGCATGATGATCTTTCGATAACCTTAAATGATTAAAAATATTTTCGAGATTTCAATAATAAATGTGGCAATACGATGTTTATCGTAATTTTATAATATACAAAACAATTTTGTTCGCGTGGTATAATATAGAAAATTAATGAGATATATAGAGTGGTAACAGAAAATAAGTTTGAAATTTACAGGAAAATTAACAATCTTAAATTATATTTTTTTATATTTAAATTTTCCTATATCTTTTCATTTATCAATAAATACTAACACATTTACTTATTATTAAATTATAATTAAATTTTATTTAATTCAAATATGATTCCAGAAAAATCAATAATAAAAATAATTAGGAATAAATATAAATATTTTATCAATCTTAATATTCAATAATAATTAATAATATAATTATTATTTGTTTTGTTAATAATAAATTTATTTCTAAGTATTATTTAAACAGATATCCTCTTTCAAAATTAATTCTACTCCATTTGTATTAAATTAACAATGCTCTTAATATAACTAAAATCTAGTAACTCCAAATTACAGTACAATTAAAATCCGCCTAAATCCCTAAAGAATTCTCAAATAAACAATATTCTTTATCGTATGGAGCAATAAAATCAAAGCAAATGGAGCACATCTGCAGTCAACAATGGAAAAATAATGAAACAATTGATTATAAATTTCCCATAAAGAAACGATAAATTAAATAAGCTTGTTACAAATAATTACGTTTAATAATTACGAACCATTTCTGCCTTGGCCAAATAAATCCATAGTTTTCGCCACGTGCTGAACTTATTTTGTTCGCTGAAATTATATCGCATTTCCTTCGAGGCGTACCTTGTTGCCAAGGGACTCCGATAGTCACTATATTCACTGTTCTCGATCGTGGACGAACTCATTTTCACCGTTTCTCAATTTACTTTCAATTAACGATACGATAATCGAAAAATATTTCGTATTATACGAGAACGAGGAAACGCGATCAGCTGATTTACTCGACACATTCAATACTGCGCATTCTCTTTAATAAACGCTGGCGCTCGCGATGCCTCTTGCGGTAGAAATACGAACTAATTCATTCAAAACTATCTTACTGTGTCAAGAAGTAATTTTCAATAATTTAAAGTTAATTCTCAATTCATTTTAAGGGAATTCTTCGTATTATATCATTATTCGAAAATACTTGGAAGAAAATAATTGCGATGATCTTAAATAAACTTCAGAAAATATATAGAAATAAAATAATTAATCGTACAATTAGATTTAATTTTCTTTTATTTTTAATAGATTTACCTAAAATATTATAAAATGTAACGTAATTCTAAAAAAATTTAAGCAGATTGAAGCTCGCTCCGTTACTATGGTTACTATTCAATAAATGAGAAACGATTGTCTTTTTTTTTCCTTGAAAGGAAGAGACGAAATCACAACGTGGATTCATCAAGATATAAACTACAGTAAAAGTGATTTAACATTTTTAATATACGTAATGTATCCGATTCCCGTAAATCGCAGTGCCATTTGTAGACACGAGTTAACAAGGGAAAGTACCCACGTTCTATATTCTCATGAGGCTATAATTGACCGATGTCATTGTTCTCTATGCGCGAAAGGAAAATCGTATTGCCACTGATGACGATTTGTAAAACATTGACCTCTCTTCGTCAAATTCGTATCGTTATTTCTTTCTTTTTATATATATATAATAATATTTAATGTCAATAAGAAATAAATACGATGATATTTTTCTTTTAAATTAATTTGGAGTAAATTTTACCTATTTACTTTATTGATTCATTTATATTTTATTTTTATCGTGAGATACTTTCAAAATTACTTTTAAAATTAATTTAGAATAAATTTATTTCTTTATTTTATCACGAAATAATGTTTCTATTAAAATATCGATGTAATAATCGTTATACATACCACGTTATAAGGTGTCATATTCGCATTAGCCCATTCTATATTAACTTCACAATTTTTGAAAAGCGTCGCCGATTCAGGAACTAATCTTCTTCTCGCCATGGCGGCCCCTCGATGGGTTTTGTACGATACCAAAACGTAACAAACAAAACCGTTCAAATTCCTATAAACGGCTACTTTATCTACATCATCTGTCACTTCGTAAATTCTCTAGAGACAAAAAAAAAAGATACAAATTCTCTCTCACAAAATATATATAGAAAAGGAGTGAGATAACAATGAAATAAATAAATATATGTATGTGTACAAACAATAGAGATTGAAAAAAAAAAATAAATTAAAAAATAATCATTAACGAACCTTGATGATGGATTTAGAGTCGATGATTCGAGGCAGCTGATTAATGTATAGCCGACAATTATTAGTGCTCGCAACGACACCGATCTTTTTTCCAGGATAAATTTCATGCTGATCTAATTCTTTAACAGCACGAGCTGCCTCCTCTTCGGTGGTGTACATGATAAAACAGTAACCCCTATTTGTACCAGAAAATTCCATCATCAAGCGTAACTCATAAATCGTTCCTACAGTACTGAATATACGAACAATTTCGGGTTCGTAATAATCTCGTGGTATACTGCCGACGAAAATCTCGCATTTCGGTCCAGGAGGAGGTCCTGTCCATCCTGGAGGTGGGCCGAGTTTCCTTTGACCATTAACTTGGGTTAATGTCAACTTGGAATCGGCTACGAATTTTAATAATTTTAGATTCGTTTCCATTTGCTCCTTCATGTTCGGTATTTTGTCGGCGATTCGTGATTGTATGATGGACTTCCGATTGTTCAGGCATACTAGATTTAATTGAAACCGATTATTATGATATTTTTTTTTTGAACAATAAATATATTGTCGTATTTTTCTCGAAATATATATATTTCGTCACATATATACGTGATGTGAAAAGTATATGTAATTTAATGGTGACGACTTGACGCAAATAAAATTAATTATTATACTTGTATAAAATTAATTCTCATGTAATTATTATTAATCAATAAAATAACTATGCGATTTGATTTGATACGTCTGGTCTCATGTATCGTATTTCCAGAACAAATGACAATTGTAAGGAAACAATCAGGCTTGCAACGGTAATTTTATTTTTACAATAAAAATGTAATAAAAATTATCTGTGATAAAAAATAAAAATAAAAAAAAAAAGAACACGATCATCAATCGAATGATACAAATTAATATTATTATTATTATTGTTATTATTATACACGATATTCAGACACGAAGAACGAAATGAAATTAAAAAATGATGAAATAACCAACTTATTTATAACACGGACAGATCGAATTCGAGAATTCGTTTATCACTTTCTACTACAAAATTAATTATATTCTCGATATTATCGACTCACCTAATTGTCGTTTCGTATCGTCTTCTTTGTTAACTTTATTGGTGGTCTCGTTTGATTGTTGAATCGTCGAAACAGATACCATTGTTCCTTCCCGATTAATCTGAACGTCGTCGTTTTTAACGCTAATTGACATTTTGTTTTCTTCTGCTACGAATTGTCACGAGCCACGTTGTTGTTAAACCGACATTTTTTTTTTTTTTTTTTTTTTTTTTTAACAGAAAATTCAATGCATTCTCGAATTAAACGAACATGAAGGAACTCGATCGGCTGGAAGATCTTTTCTGGGACAAAGAGAACGTAACAACCGGTCAAAGTCGAGGGATCGATGATCAATAAACATACCACCACGGTTTGAAGAAGACTGATGCACTAAACCATGGCTATGGGTCAAGTGTATGGGATCAGATGGCGCTTATTTCGGACTGGTTGCCATTGGATAAATTTATTTTTTATTTAGACCGTGGAGGGGAGATGATATTCGTCTCTCCCTTCATCATGTAAATCCTTTTTCATCCCATCACGCTTCGCCACTTTCTTCTGTTTTCCTTTCCACCATTTCTTCGATTATATTCTAGAATATGTGTACACATGTATCATATATATGTATATGTTTACAGAATAATGTTAAATCATGCATTATATAACATTTAAAGATTCTTATCTATTTAAACAATCGTTCCCTTATTTTTTTTTTTCTAATAATAAATAAAATCTCTTGAAAATAATTTTTACTTTTTAAATATATTTCTGTTGAAATTTTCTAGTGAGAAATTGCAATAAAAAGTCCTCGTTTATAATTAATAATTGTTCGATAATATTTCTATCTAATTATAAAAAATTAATTCGCAATACTTTACATCTCTTGCAAGAATTTCTTATGCAACGTTTTCACCTCTCTGTCTGATTATAAAATCAGTTCGTGATGATTTGCACATATTGCATACGTATTATTTGGAAAAATTTCCTATGTGATATTTTCATCTGTCTCGTTATAAAATTAATTTACAACGACAAGTAAATTTAACCACACAAATTAACCGCAGCGTTACAATTCCATTTATCAATGATTACAATTTCTTTTTTCAGTGCAGGTGAGATTTAAAGAAATTTTCCATTGTGTAAGTTTAACGATTGCTCAAAGTATTTTCGTCTCTGGACGTTACATTGTTTCCTCGGCAACCTGTTGCCCGCTTGAGGATCGAGATCAACGGTCACTCGGCTAGAATTTCCGATACAATGTTTCCAAATCGAGCGTTGCGAGCGCGTCGAAATTTGAGTCTCGAGAGAAGAAGATGATTTAAATTAATATCCAGAATAATTTTTACGATCGATATAATTTTTAAAAAAATTTTTTAAAAATATTTGTAATTAATTCCTCTGAAATAAATTAATTTCGAATTTGCAGGTGATTCAGAGTGTGACTCAAGAAGATAATTATGCTGCACAGAAGTCAAACAGGCAATTTGTCGGATCGTAATATCGTTGCAATTGTCCTAAGCTTGATTCAATGTCCAGTGTCACGTAGCATCGATGAATCAATTGAATGTATGCTTGCATATTTTGTGTACGATGTAGTATGTTATTCTTCGTGGACCTCACTACAATAAAAGAATTTTATAATAATGCATTATTTAAGTAAGTATCCATTTGTACTTTGTCACATTAATGAGTTTGTACAAAGCAAACAATTCTCAAGGAGAAAATTTATCCTATCAATACTCTGTTACAGCCATATTTCTTCATGTAGTGTATATTACAATTTTAATTGTTTACTGCTAACGTGTCAGATGCAAAGTATTTGTATACATGATTTGGATTTAATAACACTCTGGAAAGCTGAAATTCAATCAGAGATCTAACACTTCGATAATAAATATAATTGCTGAATGGGAATCAGAATGGGAAATATTTAAAATATTGTTCATGAAAATTAAAAATTCGATAAATATTCGGAAAAATATAAATCTTAAAATTTTATCTCCATCACTCATTATTGCAAAATTATACTTTAAAAAAAATTCTTCTTTATATTTTAGATATTCACAAAGTTTCGTTAACTTTTCAAATAATTGAAAAATAAAAAATAAATTGAAAAATAAAAAAAAAAATCAAATGCTTTCGTGACTCGTTGTGCATACACCAACCAAACTTCGAAAGAAAAGTAACTATTCTTCTATCTTTCCCGGTTCGTTGTAACTTTATCAAATCGGTTCAAGGCAGTTCGTCAACCATTTTCTGTGCTATTTGTTGCGAAAATTCACATACGGTGCTGCGCCAATGCACGAATGTGCGATAATAGCGTTGTTGTTACCTGCAATACGCAGACATTTATTACGTGACACAACGTAGCCGGTGCAACTTGAACCACGATCCTCTCTATCTCTTCAGTTGTTGTTCGACGCGCGGCGCGATTCCTCCTCCTAATCCTTTCGTTCGAATTTCGCTAACGAGCGAGATAAGCTCCGTTTGCGCGTTTATCGATCAAATTTTATCTGAAACTTGATTTCGAGAAATTCGAATCCGTTTTTTTTTTCCCAAATCTCATAGAAGCATGCACTATGATTTTTAGATAATAATTTCTGATTTGCAGTTGAATTGAATATTTGATATACCGTTTTTGTGTAAACCTCGTTTGATTTTCTTCGATGTGATAATAATTATTCGTGGAATTGATTTTTAATTTGCGAATTTTGTGCCGAAATTGTGTGAAATTTTGCGATGAAGTATATACATTTTATTCGAGTATGTTTAAAATGTTCGAATGCCTGATGTGTGAAAATTTAATATGGTTAACCTGTTAAAGATGGTGGAATGAATATCGCGAAATTGCAAAATTTATCGGTGAATAAAATTATAACATGTGGAATCGTAAAGTATTCATCAGGATCGTCGAAGTGGTGAGTAAATATTTATTTAATTTAATATTACGAGATTTTGTATCAATATTTGAGCAAAAATTTCACTGCTCGTGTTTTTCAATTTAATTCTGCAAATTTATGTCATGAATGATGATGAATTTATACCAGTGTTGTCACAATAATTGTAACGATGTTCTGAATATTTTTTTGACAATTAATTATTTATAATTATTTCTACGAATGGAACACGGTATAATTCATTTCAATATATTGTTTTTTGAAATAGATAAATGAACTAAATTTCATCGAACGAATATTCGATTTGCAGATACTTTGTATTGCTTGTGTGGTGGCATTAAGGGTGACCGATGACGAGAGTCGAAGGGTTTTCCATTATTTGAGAAGTCGCAGCAGAGAATGGTCTCTTTTGAACAACGTCACGTGGGGTGCAATAGGTTCGAAATACCAATTCATTGTATTCATTTTACTTCCCATACTAAGAAAAAATAAAATTATTTTTATTCAATCTTATATATATATATCTTTAAAATTATTTTTTAAAATATTTTTTAAAATATAATTTTAAAATATTTCTTATTAAAAATTGAAAATATAATATTTTCTTCTTAATACAAATATTTTTTCAGAATATATGAAAAATAATTGGCGAGACATATTATGGAAGATTAATTCTGGACAACTCCATTATTTCATAATTGTTAAAATTTTGAATTGTTTAAAAAAATTCGAGCTGTCTAAGAAATTGTCGCAGATATTTCAATATTATATAAACAATTATATAAACAATATTGATGAATAAATTATTTTATGCATCAGATAATGAATAAGTATAATATTCTGGAATGTAAAACACGCAACTTTTCTTTTGTTAATCTAGGCGCCGCTCTTGCAACCGCGACTTGTGGTGGTTACATAATAATCACAACAGGTCTCCTTATTGCCGCTGCAACAGGAGAGCTTAATGGTCGAAAGACGGTAATCATTTCCCTTTTTTTTTTTCCATATCTGTTTGCGCAATATTTGCAATACACGACGAAAACGTTCGAAATGCATTTTATGACCTGTTAATTTCTCCTTCCTCGACAATTATAATATAAGTCGTCACACTTCCTTAATAGTCTTATTGTTCGGTGTCTTCAAGGTATTCTTTCTCTTTTAACGTCCTTCGACGAACTGATTTTATCTCTTATGTCTTGTCTTGTGTCTTCGACCAGTGCCCTGAATTCAGATATCTAACCCTTTCAAAAATATTTTTTTGAACACTATTGCGCAAAATCATTAAAATTTTTTGATAAAATATAATTTATGAAGTAAATGCCAAAGCAGAGAGATAGTCTTAATTAAAAAATCAGGAATTTAACTTCCTGTTTTTTTTTTTTTATTCCGTAGAAGAAGAAGTTTCACCGGTAAAAGTAAGATTAAACGGATAAAAATTGAAGTTCTATTTAAATCCATTATATGAATAATATTAGCATAATATTAGCAATTAAAGTTATATTACCTTTTACTTTTTTTTTCTAGCCAACATTGATTTACAATATCAAACATTTTCTACATAATTTTCCGCAAAACTGCATATACATCTAGATAAATGCATCAAATTCTTTTGCATTTGCAAGAGTAAACAATATTTTCAAGGAGGCATGTTCAAATCCCACGATATTAATCTTATTTTCAACATCCTTTCTGATTAGAAAATCTCGTTTTTTACAGACACTCCTCGTTCATTAATCAATCCATGTTATAATGAAATTAAATCGTGACGTTCTGAATTATATACATACTTGTTTCAAAGGTTAATTTTTTCAGCTTATGCAAAACAGATAGAACAAGAAATCTTTTAAATGTGGAGCATGATTTAATCTATCGTGAGAAATATCGTGTCCATCGTAACGTTGTTGGTGCCAAGGTTAAAAATATCCTTCATGCAAAATGATTACGAGAAGAGACACGTAACAGCATCCTTGGTTGTATGGCAATTGAGCCACGTAATATAAACTGTGACTTATTTAATGACTCATAAATGAGGCTAGACGAAGATTTCTGCATTAAGAATTAAATTTGCATTGAAAAAAAAAAAAAGAAAAAGAAAAAGCAATGTTGTTTATATTCTTGGAAGGAAAGATTTGTACAAAAGATGGATATAATATTTAGAAATATTTCATTAAGTACAATCTCCATTGTAAAGAAATCTTGGAATGGAATACGAATTATCGAATTATCAATTCTTAGTATGCGTGTGAAGATCGTTTCATTTTTATTCTTGAAAATTTAAATGATAGAAGATAAAAAATAAAAAAAGAATGTATTAAACGGAGGAAGTTATTAAAATTTAATAATGTTTTTTAATGGAAGATACGAAGATTCGTTTTTTTTTTTTTTTTTTNTTTTTTTTTTTTTTTTTTTTTATTCAAGGAAATATTCTTCCTTGGACTTGGAGTGATTCTTTTCGGTATTGTTGGCGCATTGTCCATGGCGTCCATTGAAAACGTCCCTGAGGATTTGATCGACAATGCCGCCGTTTTTGGGGCACTGTGCCTGCTAACAGCGTTGGTTTTCATCGGCGACCTGTTAATGAGCACACCTAAAATGAAGAACAAGCAAAGCATGGCGGAATTCTTGACCGATAAAAAAGGTATTTACAAAAATTATTGTGTTTTATACGAAGAAGATATCGAATACAAGTGTATAATTTTATAGGCAAGGAACAACAAATAACGACTACTCTTACCACGGAAAAAGAATCAAAATCTCCGAAAATAAGCGGTTCAAAAGTCTCCAAAAAAGACGATAAGGGAAATATAAACGACGGTTTCGATAAAGTGGATGAACAACGCCAAAAGAGTTCAGCCAAGAAGGAGGAACGAAGATATTCGAAAGAAGAAGCGTATGGGCACGATGAAATCGATAATTTCGATCGAGAAGACGGAGAGCCGAAAGAGTACACGCAGAATTTCGAGAATGGAAGAGCTCTCAGGGATTCGCAAATGTATCGAGATCCTGAGATGCAAAAGGTTGGGAACAGAGACTCTTATAAAATGGCTCACAGAATGGAAATGCCTACCATGATGTATAAGATGCAGGATATTTATCAACGTCCAGTGGATGAAATCGACACGCCTCGTTTTCCGATCGAGACGAATCGCAAAAATGAGACTATGTTCGCCAAACTCGTGAACCCTAGCGTGAAGATTATGAAAGTTGAACGTGATGTGGACGAAGCTATCGAAAGTTACAGGTAAAAATTATTATTTTCTTAATTCTTAAAATTTAGTGATTCTTCCTGCAATATTCATATTTCATTTATTATTATTTTTTCCTTCCTTTCTTGTGATCAAGATATTCCGACACTAGTCAGTACGACAACGTGCCAGTCAGAATGAGAGGAACATCGTTGAGAAGTCAGAAGAAAAGTCGTGACGTTTCTTTCAACGTTCCACCACCGCCAAAGGGTTATGAGCAGGAGCTTGACCAAGAAAAAGATGAAATCGAGATGCTGGAAGAATGTTTTACCTCGCTTCGAACAACGAGCACAGGGACACAGACGCCCAATCTTCGAACACCTTCGTCACCCACTGATCCAGGATACGTTCGACACACTGCCAGCAATTGGCCCCAAGAGAATAAAACTAAGACCCCTGGTTCGAGTCCAAATCGCACAAGGAATTGATATTATTATGCACAAAAAGTAATTAAAATTTTGCATCATGATTTCTTATGTCTGAGATAGAGTTTCCAATTTTTTGAGAAAGAAATTTCAAGGAGCTTTGTTAAAAGGATTATAATTATAGATAGATTAGAAAGGTCTGTGAGGTGTTATGAAAATGACATAACATTTTTTCACTTTTCCATTTTTTTCTATTTAAATATTAGTCTATTGTTTCTCTATGTCTGAGACACAGTTTCCAATTTGAGAAAAAGATTTCAAGGAGTTTTGTTAAAAGGATTATAGTTATAGATAGATTAGAAAGGTCTGTGAGGTGTTATGAAAATGACATAACATTTTTTCACTTTTCCATTTTTTTCTATTTAAATATTAGTCTATTGTTTCTCTATGTTTTTAATAAAATGTTGTAATAATTTTTAGTATCAGAAATTTGATTGCATTTATCATACAGTTTGTATATTTTTACTCACTTTTCAATTACAATCGGTATATCGTGTTTGATATTATTAAATAAGAATATTTTTATGAATTGGAAAGCAAAAATTGTTTATTGTATATCTTTTTTTCTTCTCATTTTATTAATTCGATTTATTAAATTATTTTATATATACATGTGTATGTATATATTTATTATTTACAAACTGTATTAATTAATTTAAAAGGGTGACAAAGGAATCTTCATAGACACGTGGTTATTTTTGTATAAGTAGAATCTTTTAATATATAAAGTTTTAATACCTCCTTTCACATCGATACGCATTACGTACAATTATTAATAATAATGTCTCCTTGTGATAAACATGTAACCGCAATTTGTTAGTCTCCATCAGAACTTATTCGTTAAAGATATTAGCGTTTAATTGGATTTACATTTAATCATTTCTTTCTACGTGTGTGTACCGTATCGTTTCTTTTTCTTACATATTTTTATATATAAATAAATCGATTTTATCCAATATCAAGTTATTTATATGTTAGTTGTTTTTCTTATATTATTTAATTTACGTGATCGATAATTTCTTCGATTATTAAATAAACGAGAAGAAATTTGGAATTGAAAGAAAAAGAAATCAATCGGAAAACGCAGAGAGTTTCGACATGTTCTGTCATCGAATTTTATTTAAAAAAAAGCCACAGAGCTATTTCTCATTCTACAAAACAGTCGTCCTCTCTTTTAGCTTTTTCACGTAATCCTCTCATTCTCTAAACGTTTCTAAACGCGTATTTACAGAGTTGAGAATTATTGCTTAGATACTTGAGCATTCGTTCCTCTTCTTCCATGTATTAAACATTACGTATAAAATTGTTTAAACTTAATGAAGAGGATTATCAGACATTCTCATTCTTAAGACTGGTGTAACTAGATTATCTTTTATTATTTTATGAAACGATAAATTGAAGATTGGAATATTATTAAATTGATATATGTATAGTTTAATTACGTTTAATTCCATGTAAAATTCTTGATCTACTTCCCTTTCGCATCGAGGTATAAGCTTGTGACTTAATTCTTTAAATTTGTTACATTTTGGTGTACTTGTCTTCTATGGAAAAGTATTTCTTAAAACGAGGGAAAAGATACGCAAAATATCTTGTCACAATTTAATTAGATAGTTAGAATGATTCTATCTATAATAGTATTATCAGATGAATTATAATTCCCTTGAATTCTTCTCACCTCTAACTAAACATATTTACAAGTCAAAAAACTCTCAAACTTTTCTTCATTAGTTTGAATTTTCTCTTAAGAAATCTTTATCAGATCTTTTATGTCATGAATAAATAAATAACGAAAAGATAAATGTAATTTTATTGATAATTCTTTTAAATTTTCGAATATTATTCTTTCTCCTTCTACAATGTTATTTTCAAAAATGCTTATGAATATTAATAAAAAATAAAAATTTATTATAGATATTAAAAAACTTTTTATCGAGAAACTCTTTTTTCTTTTTTGTTCTCCTTTTTTTGTGTAATTATTTCTCTTAAATATGTATTTACAGTATTTTTCATTTGATAAGTGATACGAGAAAAAATATAAAATTTCTAAAATTTGAATCCACATTGCTATAAGTGCAGAATGCAAATCGAATATTTTATCTCATGCCAAATCCAATGCTAGTACCTTGAGCATTAGTGGCTCTTTGTTCCATGGTGATATATTGTCTAATTAATCGTGAAATTTCATGAGCTTGTTCAGTCTGCAATCTTGTAATCCGTTGTTGCATCAAATTACCGCATTTCATATCAAGATAAAGGGTTCCTTCTTCAGATTTTACTTTTCTTGTAGAAATTACTTCAGAATAGGGGTAATGATAGAGAGTTTCCTGAAATTTTAATATTGATTACATAAATTATTCATACAAATTTTTATGTAAAGTTAAGAAATTAGGGACTAAATCAAACTTACATGTGTGATTAAATCAATAAAATGCACTCCATGCCTATTGAGTGCCAAAATATGATCACCTCCCTTTTCTTTTCCTTCAGGCACTCTTTTCACAGCAAAGAAACTAGATCCAAACAATGGCCATTTCCACAAAATTTCTAGCAATAGATATCAATATTTTTTAGATATGGTAAAGATAAGATTTATAATTCATTGTATGATTCATTTTGATTAATTGTATAAAATAAAAAATATAGAAATGTTTAATGTTTATTGATCGGAATTAAAATACTTACCAAGCACTTGTGCTTTACAAGCAGCTACTGTATTATGTTGCACATTATTCCATGCTTGTTGGACCATGTTTGACCACTGTTGTGGTCGTGGTTCTCTTAAACTAAGCACTGGTTTTGGTAATAAATATTTAATTTCTTTTGTTGTAGGTTCATGATTCATATCTGCTGCCCTATGCAATAGAGCTGCTATTTGTGCCATATCATACTTAAAAGAAAAAAGAAAATGTATTAATTAAAAATAAATTCTACAAAAAATTTATAATATCAAAAGAAAATACTCACTATGACTTCTTGAGGTAAATGTTCACCAGGTAGAACTAATAAAAGACCTTCCAAATAATCTGGAGCAATCTGATTGAATACAACTTCTATATACAGTGGAGCATCCAGTCTGAGAGGATAATACCATACAGATCTAAATTTAAAAGGAATTATATTAATTTTTCATAATTTAATTTTATTTAATTTATACTGCTTTCAAAAAAATTATTAGAATTATATTAAAATCATATTTAAAAATATTATACCTGCAGAATATTAGGTAAAAGACCTGATGATTTTTATGTAATTCTGTAGTTACATCCAGTACATATTCATCCCTGGCTAAAGGCATAGTAAATGCATCACCATCGACAATACAATATAATGAGAATTCATCCATTTCATGAGGATTTCTTACAGATATTATGTTGCACATTTCTTCAATAACATCCTATTAATAAAAATAAATTATTAATAAATATTTATAAAATTATAATTTAATATAATTATAATTATAATTATATTAAATATAATTTATATTAAATTAATTTAATATATTATAAATATATATATATATATTAATAAAATTAAATTAATTTAATATAATTATAATTATATTAAAATATATTAAATTATATTTGTATAATACTATTAAGATATAATATCTTAATAATACTATTAAGATATAATATATATAAAATATAATAATTACTAAATTATGAATATAAAAATATTTTTAAATAAGTAATACATATATATTTATAATATATTTTTTCAAATTTTGAAATATCATATATATTTAATAGTATTATTAGCATTATTAATATATAATAAATTTATAAGAATCATAAATATTGCATATGTATTATTAAAATTTGAATTTGAATTTTAGCGCGCAGTTTCACCGGTAGGTGTCCGAAGCATCATGGCGGTCGTGTCAGTGGGGTGTGAAAGTGTCGTAAAAAGTGGAAAAATTTATGGAAATAGCAACGAAACAGCTCTGGTGAGTTTCTTAAATTAATTTGTTATAGCTAAATAATTACATCTATTGTTATCTTTGATATATATTGCTTAATTAATGAGATTTCTTCGATTTTATATCGAATGCGTCAATGGCGTATGAAATGGCGTAGCGTTGCGCATCAAACGCAATATCAAATTGCGTCGTTTGAATTTTAGATTACTTTGTGCGTTAATTATTAACAATTATTATGCTTATTATTAATATTAATGCTTATTATTAGTATTATATGCTTAATATCATATTCGGCATTGCATTTTAAAGATTGCATGTTAATTTCTTTTAGTAGTCTGTTACTAATGCTTTTTACATTACAGTATGCTATATTAGTGAACTAATATTTATCATTAATTAATTTTATAAATATAATATTGGTTTTCTATTCTTAGTAGAATATAAATTATTTCTTTTTGTATGTTCTATGTGCGTTTTCTAGTTTGCGAATGTATTTTAATTAGCTCTCGTGTCAAGAAATATGTCTCGCATATATCTATATATATATATTTATATATATATGTATACAATATATAAGATATATATATATATATATTATATATTAAATATATATATATATATTAATTCTAATTCATTTCTTCACACTCTCATAATATTTCTATTAGTTTCTTTTTAGCTTATTAATTTTCAACTTATTAGATTAATTTGTTGGGGATTGTGGCATAATTAATTTTCTTAGCTTTTAACTTACATTATTCAATTTCAATTTTTTTCTGCATTTAATTGAATTGAATTAGTCTTTTGTCTTTTTTTTCTTATATCATCTTGCTTATTTCTTCTTGGTTCTTTGTTTTACAATTTACAATGATCTTCAAAGAATTTAAATTTACCTGCACAACAGTTGTACATTTAGTGTTGATAACTCTTTCTGTTCCTCCTGGTAATCTATAAATCTGTCTCTTTGCATTTCTGCCTGCACTAATTGCCATAATTTCATCCACGCTTGGCACGTTTTTCCTTCCTCCATATTTAACTGTTTTCCTGAGATTCTGTAAACACACTGTGGCTGTTCCATGATAAGCTCTTCTTTTGTCATAAGCTGCTGTTTCCAGATATTTGGTAAGATAAGGCCTTAGACCATCACTACATGTGAAATAGGCAGCAACAATACTGAAGATTCTCCAACCACGTTGACAACTGTCTGGATTTGGACTTTTATTATTTGTAGTTTGTTTCATTAATTGACAATAAACTTCATCGCGTAGTAGTTCATATTTGTGACAATGCTGAAATAAAATTAAAAAAAGAATAATGTTTTTAGACGTCAAATTGAGATTTCAGTAGTTTGTGAATAGAGAAAGTAACAATTTCACTTTCTGTAATTATTTAATAGAGTTGAGATTATTTATAAACAATATTTTTTTAATGTAAAAGATTTTTTGAAAAAGTAAAATAAAAATAAAGAAACATTATAGGAAGAATAAAAATTAATACAAAATTTACCCTTTTTTCCCGAGTGATGATTATTTTGAATGAAAAATTGTTAGAAATTGAATGAATGAGTTTTTTGAATGAGTTGAATGATTTTTTTGTGAATGAAGAATATGAATATTTTTATAAATGTTATTTATTAAGTGTTCTTTTTTTTTTTTTTTTTTTTTTTTTTTNTTTTTTTTTTTTTTTTTTTTTTTTTTGTTATATAAAATCAAGAGAAATTTTTAATAAGAAAGATAGTAGAAGACAATAAGTGGTAGTAGTGATAGTAGAAAGCAATTAAATTCATGATTAAAGAAATAGGCTATTGGATTATTATTCTGTCATTATTAAATTCAATCTAAATATATTTCTCAATAAATTTCACTTCATTTCTAGAAATAATTACATTTATATAATGATATTCTTTTATAGAATATTTAAAATTGTAATTATTTCAATTTATTTTGCATAAACTAAAATAATAGAAATTTTATCAAACGTAATTATTCTATTTTTCAAAAAATTCATTAATTCAAATTGAAAATATAATACTTACCATAAGAATAGTATAAACGCATTTTACTTCACTGGTATCTGGAGGTAATGGTTGATCACCCATGTATCTCATCAGACACAAAAAACATTCTACTGCCAGAGCACTTAAATCTGTATCAAGCTTCAAAAGACTTTGCTCTATTGGCACAGGAGAATATTTCACAAGATCCACCTGTTCTTTCCAAGTCCATTCCGCACCATCCTGTTGGCCTTTATTTTTCTTATTCTTCTTCTTATTTTTCAAGGATTCTATCACTTTAAGAGATCCACTTATTGATCCATCTGCTGTCTTCAGCATTTCAAACCTAAAAACAGAAAAAAAAAAATATTTTATCAAAATTTTCTTTTACTTAAATTCTATTTATAATAATAGAAAATTCCAATTGTAAGGAACTGTTAGAATCAATTTATCAAAGGAACGGTACTCGAGAGTGACATAAATAATAGTCTTCCAAAACGGAAGTCGTCTCGTTGAAGGAGTATGTAGCCATAAAGGGGATTTCCATTGCAGGATGTTGGTACAGACATAGGAAAAAGTCCCGTTGAGTACTGGCTGGGTGGTTGTCACTTGTCAAAGTCATGTTTAAGAAATCTACTCTAGTTAGGCGTTTTAATTCGATTTAGTAATTATAATTCGACTTGGTAAAAGGTTGATCTCTATATTCTGTCAGTTCATTATTATTTTTGTCGTTTGTGTCTTCTGTCTCGTTTCCCTTTGATGCGTTTTGTTACAAATTCGTTTCTTGTGCAAATATTATTCACTAAAAATCTCTCCTAATAGAAATTGTACAATGAATAGTGAAAACTGCTAATTAATTTTAATTAGTCGTACACGGTATACGATAGTTAGTCGGACACTGCGTAGTAAAAGAGAATTAAGATACAATTTGTAATGTCAATTCTTATTTTTTCATAATTTAACACATTTACAA